TAGCTACTGTGGCTGTTACTGTACCTGTGGCTGTGGCTGTGGCCGTTCTTTCTGCCTCAGGCTTCTTATCTCTTATCAGTGGCGCCGGCCCCGGGCTGCACTGATTTTCCGCCTTCACTTTGCTCGAAGTCACCTACGCGACCAGAGCAGGGTTCTGCGCACTCCCTCATTTCTACCTCGTCAGCTTGCGCCTCTCGTCTCCTCGTTTTCGCCGTCGCTCACTTACCCGGTCACCACCATGGATGACCTGGAATCCCTGGAGCTGTTGTCGCTCGTGTCACGAGTGACGAACGAGCTCCAGAATCACCTGGGTATTAACGACAAAACGCTGGCTGAATTCGTCATTGACCAACACCTGAAATGCAATGGAAACTTTCCTGAATTCAAGGCAGGTCTCGACGAGATGGGCGCCGAATTTCCGCAGAGTTTGATGGAGAGTGTCGACCGCCTTGTTCTCACGATGCACCCGAAATACAAAGGGAAGAAGGAGGAAAACGGCGACGCCGCGGTCGCAGACGATGATTTGATGGATGAATTTGGTGCCTTGGAACGCAAGTCCCGCGTTTTTAAGGGTCTTGCTGTTCCGGATAGAGACAACCGCTGGGAGGAAGACGACTACCTTGATAAAAAGGGCAACGACGACCAAGCAGGAGCAATGGATGATACATTTGCGATGTTGGAAGGACTGGCTGGGAAACCAAAGGACGAAAAACCGCGCCCCTCAAGAGACGAACGCGATGGCAGGAAGCGCAGCCGCAGCCCTTACGATGACGATAACCGTGGGCGCCGACACCGTGAGAAATACCGTTCTAGATCTCGGAGCACGCATCGACGCAGCAAAAATGACGAGTTGGTGGACGAGTTTGGAAGATCCATCGGAAAATACGGGGATAGGGAGGAAAACCACCGCAATGGCCACAGTGATCGACGCAAGCGTCGGGATCGCGAAAGAGATGATTACTTCGATAAAGCACCACCCATGGAATTGGATGATCACCCTGTTATCTACAAAGTTTATGATGGTCGTGTGACGGGTGTCAAGGATTTCGGTGCTTTTGTCAACCTTAAAGGAGTCAAAGGCAAGGTTGACGGTCTTGTTCACGTTTCGGCGATGCAGGAAGGCGCGCGGGTGAACCACCCCTCTGACCTTGTATCGCGTGACCAACCCGTCAAAGTCAAGGTGGTTAAGATTGAAGGAACTCGTATCGGGCTCTCGATGAAGGAGGTGGATCAAACAACAGGGCGCGATCTCATTCCCCAGCGCCGTCTGGCCTCGGGTGCCAACATGGAACGCCTTGATGGCTCAGCCGAGGATGATCGCTACGGAGCCCTCAGCTCTGATGTTCCTATCATCGAGGATTCTGGCAGGCCAATGAGGAACCGGAAGCGTATGACCTCGCCAGAGCGCTGGGAAATCCGACAGCTCATTGCATCGGGAGTTGCTTCAGCAGCCGACTACCCAGACCTCGAGGAGGAATACAATGCCACACTTACTGGCGAGGGTACATTTGAAGAGGAGGAAGACGTTGATATTGAGGTCAAAGATGAGGAGCCTCCCTTCCTGGCTGGCCAGACTAAGCAGTCTCTCGAGCTTTCTCCCATTCGTGTTGTCAAGGCCCCTGATGGATCGATGAACCGAGCGGCAATGTCCGGCGCAAATCTTTCCAAGGAAAGGCGCGAATTGAAACAGCAAGAAGCACAGGATAAAGCGGCCGAGCGAGCAGCCGATGTTGACCTTAATGCCCAATGGCATGATCCGATGGTTGCAGCTGAAGATCGAAAATTCGCTGCAGACCTACGCAGTACCCAGCAACAAGACGAATCTGTGCCAGAATGGAAGAAGGTCACAATGGGCAAGAATGTGTCTCTGGGAAAACGTACTGACATGTCCATCAAACAACAACGTGAGAGCTTGCCTGTCTATAAGTTCCGCAAACAACTGCTTGATGCGGTCAAAGATAATCAGTTGATGATTGTCGTTGGAGACACTGGATCGGGAAAGACCACACAACTCACGCAGTACCTGGCAGAGGCCGGGTATGGAAACAATGGTATGATTGGCTGCACTCAACCTCGCCGTGTGGCCGCCATGTCCGTTGCCAAACGTGTCTCTGAGGAAGTGGGCTGCAGGCTCGGTGCCGAAGTTGGATATACTATTCGTTTCGAGGATTGCACCAGCCCAGAGACTAAGATCAAGTACATGACCGACGGTATGCTTCAACGAGAGATTCTGCTGGATCCAGATCTTAAGAAGTACTCCGTGATTATGCTTGACGAAGCTCACGAGCGAACCATTGCCACTGATATTTTGTTTGGACTGTTGAAGAAAACCATCAAGCGACGACCAGATCTTCGATTAATTGTCACATCTGCCACTCTTGATGCTGAAAAGTTCTCAGTATACTTCAATGGCTGCCCTATCTTCTCTATTCCAGGTCGAACCTTCCCCGTCGAAATTATGTACTCGAAGGAGCCCGAGTCCGATTATTTGGATGCTACTCTTATCACTGTGATGCAGATTCACTTGACGGAGCCTGCCGGAGATATTCTGGTTTTCCTCACAGGACAAGAAGAAATTGACACATCTTGTGAGATATTATACGAGCGAATGAAAGCTCTCGGTCCTTCAGTACCGGAGCTTGTCATTCTACCCGTTTATTCTGCACTTCCTAGTGAGATGCAGAGTCGAATTTTCGAGCCTGCACCACCTGGCGGGTAAGTTCAGTCCTTCTTTCTTTGATTGATAATTGCTGACGAGAATTTCCAAATTAGGCGAAAGGTCATCATCGCGACCAACATTGCGGAGACATCAATTACGATCGACAACATCTACTGTAAGTTTCCGAGATTCCTATTACCCGAAATTTCTTGGCAGAGCTAACATGACCTTGTAGTCGTTATCGACCCCGGCTTTGTCAAACAGAATGCTTATGACCCTAAGCTTGGTATGGATTCTCTTGTGGTTACCCCCATTTCTCAAGCCCAGGCCAAGCAACGCGCTGGTCGTGCAGGACGTACGGGCCCAGGAAAAACCTTCCGTTTGTATACCGAAGCTGCATTCAACAGCGAGATGCTTCCGACGACAATCCCCGAAATTCAACGCCAGAACCTTTCACATACCATTCTCATGCTGAAAGCTATGGGTATTAACGATCTCCTGCACTTCGACTTTATGGACCCCCCACCAACAAATACCATGCTTTCAGCCTTGGAAGAGCTATATGCGTTGTCTGCTCTTGACGACGAGGGTCTTCTTACCCGACTAGGTCGGAAGATGGCCGATTTCCCTATGGAACCTGCTTTGGCCAAGGTGCTCATTGCTTCTGTGGACATGAGCTGCTCCGACGAAATGCTTAGCATTGTCGCCATGCTTTCAATAACATCGGTATTCTATCGTCCAAAGGAGAAGCAACAACAAGCCGATCAGAAGAAATCTAAGTTCCACGATCCTCATGGAGATCACCTGACATTGCTCAATGTTTATAACGCCTGGAAACATTCCAAGTTCAGCAGTGCATGGTGTTTCGAGAACTTCATCCAAGCGCGACAGATTAAACGTGCCCAAGATGTCCGACAACAACTTCTTGGCATCATGAATCGCTATCGACACAAGATCGCCTCGTGTGGGCGGGACACGATGAAGGTCCGACAGGCCCTCTGCACAGGATTCTTCCGGAACGCCGCTCGCAAGGACCCCCAGGAAGGATACAAAACACTTGTTGAAGGCACACCGGTTTACATGCACCCTAGCTCTGCACTTTTCGGCAAGCCATCAGAGCATGTTATTTATCACGATTTGGTGCTCACTTCCAAGGAGTACATGCACTGCACAACGTCGATTGAACCTAAATGGCTGGTCGAGGCGGCGCCGACATTCTTCAAGGTGGCGCCTACTGATCGTCTGTCTAAGCGAAAGAAGGCCGAGCGTATTCAGCCCCTGCATAATCGGTTTGCTGGTGAAGATGATTGGCGTCTTTCTGCTCAAAGACGTCAAGGCAGAGGTGGTGGTGGTGGAACTTGGGGTTGATCTGTCATATAATAGTATACTAAGAAAACGGAGCAGAGTTTGCAATCACTTTGGCCATGATAAACTGGCTGTGTACAATTTTAGTTCGAAACAAATCTTTTTCAGGTTGTGTTGGCAATGTATCATACTGACATCCATGGATTGGGATGATCAAAGTTGCCTGCGAAACGTACTTTCAATGTAAAATGAAAATTATGAAGTACCTACTAGTACTAGTAAATTGTAGCTTGAGCTTTGAAATGAATTAATTGTATGCTCAACTGGCAGCTCCGGATCGCCTATATCAGCCGCCTTCCTTTGTTGCCATCAATTTACACCTTTCAACATCAAGACTCGACAAGGGATGTGTCAAACACAGCCCAACAAGGCTCTATCTTGAGAAATGAGCTCATCTCAGGGACAAATTGCTACCACGGCACAGTATTCTAATTATATACAACTTTTGAGTGGGTAGCTATTAACTAAACCCCACATCGCACGGACTTGTACTTAAAGAATGTATCAATAAAGAGAAGCTTGTGTATCATTGAACTATTGGGAACGCAGGGCTTCGCACAATTACCTCAAACAAGTAATTAAGGTGGAGTAATGGCGATATCTCATTGGCAAATACGCACAGGCATGGGCAGAGCGGGAAGCTGATGGGGGCGTAAAATGCATCTGTACCTACAGTTTACAGGGCCCCCAAATCTCTAACACTTCTTTTGACGTCATTTAGCATGTTATAATACCGCAATAATCATTGGGCCAAGGAATAAGATGAGGCTAAGCATCGCGTCAGCATTTCCACTGAATTGATTGGCCGCCCCGACCTATACAACAACTGCATTGCCTTGCTTGGACGTGGATACTTTTGCCTACGTGGAAAGAAAAAGAAATATACATATAAGGAGAAGCCGGTCGAATAGGTTTTCATGTATTATCGACGTTGAACAGTCTTTCAATTGCTAAGCTAAAGTCTCAACTAACCATGATGGTCGGCTCTCTCTCGTTGATGAACGCTCTGCCTTTCCTGGCAGGAGGAACTTTGGCTAGCATTTCCGATGCTTTCAACAATCTGCCCAGTTATCTAAACTATCCAACTATTCCAGATGACCTGACTACGCCGTTTCAACAGCGACTGGCAGTGTATGGGCCAAATTGTAAGATATACCCCTAAAACAAGAAGGAAAAGATATAAAAGAAAAGCTAACACTGTATAGCTGTCTCCATCGGATGGAACACCTACCAGCCCATAGAACAGCCTTGTGTGTTCTTTGGTACATCTCATGGAAAACTGGATCGTCGCGCTTGCTCGACCACGCCGTCAACTACATATCAAACCTCGCGAACATGGTCCCAAGCAGTAGTTCTGCCTAGCCTAAACTCCTCCACGACCTATTACTATCAAATCGATTCAACAAACTCCAGCGTGGAACACTTTTTGAGCCCTCGAATCCCAGGTGACAAGACCCCTTTCGCGATAGACGTGGTTATTGCCCTCGGTGTTTACGGCGAAAATGGCTTCACCAAAGGCCACGTCTCGAATTTGGTCGACAAGAAAGATACAATACGTGAGATTCAGCCAGAGCTAAACCACAGCACCATCGGCCGCCTTGCCCAAACTGTCGATGAGTATGAGATCGTCATTCATCCCGGGGATTTCGCCTATGCCGATGACTGGTGGGTCGACAGTCGGTTTTTACCCGGAGCAAATATAGACAATCACATTGAAAATAATTTCTACGCCGCCACAGAAGTTTACCAGTCGATCTTAGAGCGATTCTATGACCAATTAGCTCCAATTGCTGGCCGCAAGCCTTACATGGCTAGCCCCGGTAACCACGAAGCAAGTTGTTTCCCGAGCAATACAACGATCCCCTTCGCATATGCCGGCAAGAAGTTAGCCATTCCTTTCAAAGACTTCTGCCCACAGGGTCAAATGAATTTCACAGACTTTATGCATCGCTTTGATCGAACCATGCCAAACGCGTACCCATCATTCTCCAAGAACACGACCGCAAAAGCACTAGCTAAAAAGGCACGGAGCGCTGCACAACCTCCATTCTGGTACTCCTTTGAATATGGCATGGCACATGTCGTAATGATCAACACTGAGACAGACTTCAAAGATGCACCCGAAGGACCTGGTGGCTCCACTGGGCTTAACCAAGGCAACTTCGGCAAACGGAATCAGCAGCTAGAGTTCCTGAAAGCCGATCTTGCTAGTGTTGACCGAAGTGTCACACCTTGGGTAATTGTTGCTAGTCATCGTCCATACTACAGCTGTGGGGGCTCAGCTCATATGTGCAGAGAGTGCCAGAAGGCCTTTGAGGATATCTTCTATACCTATGGTGTAGATCTGGGAATCTTCGGACACGTTCACAACTCTCAGCGATTCCCGCCCATGTACCAAGGAAAGGTTGATCCAAATAATCTGACCGATCCAACAGCCCCTATGTATATCATTGCTGGCGGTGCGGGTAATATCGAAGGATTGACACCTGTTGGTTCTGTACCTCCGGAGAATGAGTTTAACTACGCCGACGATTGGAGTTATGCTACGGTGAAGTTGTTAGATGAACAGCATTTGCAGGTTGACTTTATCAAGTCTACAACTGGGGAGATTCTAGATAGCAGTACCTTGTTCAAGTCACACAAGGAACAGTTCGTGAGATAATAGAGGGCATGACCTTTTATTGTGATCACTACTGTCTACCTCATTTATAGGAATGAGCTTGCAAGGGTGGAGACTGGGGATTGGAGAATAGCAAAAAGGTTGAGCACTTGTGTTACGACTAGGTGCCGAGATCTGAATTAAGAGCAAATCTTTGTATTTTGAGCTCTGAGTGCCTTAGCTTAGGGTCAAGTTTCTTTCCACCTTTTCGAATTCTCAATCATTACTTATCTAGCGTGAATGTATTTGTCATGTGCAGCTACCTGGAAATCGAGTATTCCAGCGGACTGGAGAAGATCTCGCGGTGCTGTGTCATGACGATAGTCGAAGAATATAAGCACTATAACAGCGAGCTGAATTTAAAACAGTATGTAGGGCACATGGTAGCTATAGTAGTAGCTCCTAGGTTGGGCTACTTTTAGATGGCTGGCCATCTACTATAAACAAAAACTATTACTCCGTACTTTGCCAACATAACGAGTAATCAGATCAAGCATCGGCCCGGTGGCGTCTATCGTTCGCCGTAAGGGGGCCACGCACGGGTTGATCATGAACGGAGGCCTAGAACCACGTTGACGTTCACAAGCACGACAAAAGAAATAGAGCACTCCAAAATGGGGACCAAGCTTGTCCACGAGGATCCGGGTCGGCACGGTGCGGGTACGGTGCGGAACTCTAGAAAGGGGTTCCGGCCGTTTAGCTGGATATTCCGGAGAACAGAGCGGATAAATCGTGGAAATGATAATGCATTTGTGAAATTGGGGACATCACAAAAAAGGCTTTTGGTCGAGGAGCCGAGCTAGTGCTGTACTATGCAGGCATGTGAAGAAAAGCGGCCAATTGATATTGATAATTAGGGTTTCGAGGCTGCCAGTGGAGATGCTCGATCTTCGGATCGAGTATATTGAGATACCGAGCATCTATGGAGTTGCTCACTTTCCTTACCTTTTACTACCTCGATGTCTTCAACCAGTTTCTAGCTATCATCCTGATATGAGCAATATTGCGCCTCTCCTGAACCCCCCCCCCCCCCAGGTTGCGAAAAGGAGATCAAGACATGACAAATGAAGCCATTCTCGGGTCGATCCCCTGACGATTAGCGTTGATAAAGTGGATATTGGGCCACCCGGAATCTGCGGCTTGAATCCTTCGCCCCTAACTTCATTGCTGATTAGATCTATCCCAGTCACCGTACTCCGCGGCTGGAATAAGCTCTCCGGCTGCCTTAGCTCAGTGGAGCTAGACGCGGCGACCAGGTCTCAGTTTTGGGTCCTTTTGGGTCTCTTTTGGGTCTCTTTTCATCACCTCAACTGCGCTACGGCGATCCCAATTCCCGCCGAAACATGGCTAGATTGGTGGGCTATCGAGCTCCACTGGGGCCTCGCTCTGATCAACAGCTGGTCTAACCCCATGTTGGTCTCCACTTCATGCACCCGTTCAATAACTTTTGGGTCCGGCAGACACTAACCCCTCCAGATCTGCCATTCCCGTTCCCAGCTTTCTGAACCCTACTCGATCAGATCCGGATTGAGGGTGTCGATCGGATCTCCACGCACGGCGCATGAATCGTAGACACTACCAACCAGACGCGTTAATCGGTACCGCTAGCCCTCTAGGCCCTCTTTTTGGTACGAGTACTTTTAGTACCCAGACATCCCGAGTGGACCGCACAAGAAATGCTGCAGGGATTTGGGCCAAAAAAGCTCACTTGGGATTCCAAATGATACTACGAGGTATGTACGGAGTACTGCGGAGTAGAGTATTGTCTATGCAGTATGCCCGGTACGGATTACTTACAGGCCGGGGGGGAGACTCGACCGTCCGTTAGAAAGTTTATATAAAGGAGAGCACGTTCCTCCTGGCGTTCTTCTAGTTCTAGCTCTCGAGTACTCACATCCAGTCATTCTTTCACTCCTTTTGAATTCACCAACCCTATACATTCATTCATTCATTCATAACTTTCTACTAGATTTCGATCTAGATTATAAATTTATTTATACCATTCATAATGCAGTTCAAGAGCCTTCTCGTCACCTCCCTCATGGCCATCAGTGCCGTCGCCGCCAACAATGGCAGTGATATTGCTCCCAGCGTCCAGGGCCGCATCGCCCAGCTTGATCTCGGTTTCAAGCAGACCGATGTGATGCTGAACAAGTTGAAGAACAACATCGGTGGCATCACCGCCGACGTACGTCCACGAGACTCTCGAGTCCTACCTCTCGCACAACGTCAAATAACTAACTCGACCTGCTCAGGACATCGTTGTCGCCTACAGAGAGGTCGTTGCCCGTGAGGCGACTGACATGATGATGCCCCAGCCTTGGAAGGCTCTGGAGGATTCCCAGCAGATGGTTATCTGCCAGTCCTTCCACTCGGTAAAATCCACCCCAAAACTTAAAGAATCAATTCAATTGCAATCAAAAATCCCTAACAATATCCTGCTACAGCTTGCTCTGACTGGCCTGGACCTAAACGCCGACTTCACCTTCAGCGCCAATTACTTCAACCAGACCCAGCGCCACGATCTGCAGCACAACCTGAACAAGGTCACTGAGGAGACTAGCGTGAGTGTCGAATCCAAAAAAAGTTCCATCACATGTGCCATCAAAATCAATAATCCACTTATCCCACCCGAGACATCCGGCTAACCTGAAACTTCGTCTGCATATAGGACTTCGTCAAAAATGTCGCCAAGACCGCCGTTCCCTACTGCCTGGACATCATCCAGGAGGACAACAAGGCGATCTACAAGTCCATCCGTGACGCTCGCCAGGCCCTGTCAGCTTAAACGTGCGTGGCGGTCTCGAGAGAGATGATTCGGTATCAATAATGTCAACATTGCTTCGCCTATGGTTACGAGTATATAGGCGCAGGCTGAGATTGGATTGTGCAGGGTTACCGACACGCTTCAAACCCGCTTCCATCTCGCTCACGCACTAATGGTGTACAAATCTGATCAACTTAATTTAAAGCGTTATTGAGCCCATTGCAACATCTGTTTCATGACTTAGTTCTTTGTCTTCTGTCCTTTAATCATCGTGGCCCAGTCAAACTACTAGGGTAGTACTAGTACGTTAGCCACATTGGCCCTTCGGGCATCGGTCTGATCTGTCTACCGACGCGCTAGTAAGAAGCTAGGAGAAAAAGAAAGATAAATACTAATAGTTATTCGATCGACCAAGCGATTGATAGATTGATTGCAAATCTGTACCTGTCGATATTCTATGAATAATTCGTATCCACTGACGAAAAGCAAAACCCACGTTAGTGCCTGTTCGCCGAGCATAGATTTACGGCAATCCGCCACCACTCACTCCACCACTAGATCGGTCAAACCACATCACATCCCTAGATCATCCTCCTTGCAAGACAATTCGACTGAACTCGGTCGGCACCGGTGGCTCGGTAAAGGCAATCAATCCCCTTGAGAAGCAATAGATAGCAAAGTGAAGAAAGAGAAAAGAGAGAGAGAGAGAGAAAAAGCAATCCCCTCGGTCATTGGTTACAGAAATAACACGGAAAAGAGCCAAGGACGAATAAAGTCAAGGCTGAGAGTGGGTTGCTTGCTAGACAGAAGCTGGGCAGCAGGAAGAAGGGCATCCCCTTGCCAGGGTACCGAAAATGGGAATGAGCAAATACAACATGGAAATAAGAAAGACATGAAAGTGAAATTTGAGATAGAAAAGAAAATGAAGAAGAAGTTGGGGATGCTTTGGATCTCTCTCAAGAAGGATGATGCAACGTTGCCGTGTAACCAGGCCGGGTTAAAACAGAAGACCGAGACTCTTGCGCCGCATAGACTCTTCCATCGCATCTTTGCCCAGAATAGTCACATATCAAATGGAGCAAGTAAATGTCAGATAAGATGGAAAAGCTCAAGATGTCAGCCGTTTACCTATACGGGCCGGGTCCGACCATTCCGCCACGAACTTCGCCACCGCCGGACTGGCCAAACATCTCAAGTAGGTGTCGCGATGAAGGAGGAGGGCCCTGAGGACCAGGATTTCCAGGTCCGAAAGGACCTTGGCCGCCAGGGCCAAGTCCCATCATAGCCTCGGGGTTTGGGGGCATGGGAGGAAAGCCCGGAGGAGGGCCACCCATATATCCGGGCGGTGGCATCATGCCAGGAGGAGGGCCCGGCGGCCCACGAGGAGGGAAGCCTTGTCGCTCGCCGAGGGGAGGTCCGTTTCCGGGCATCGGCATCATGCCTGGGGGGGAAATTGAGAGGACCGCGGTTTGGAGTCGGCATTCCAGGATGGGGGCCCATCGGGCTTGGTCCGTTGCCTTGTTGTGGGGGAGGTTGACCGGTCCATCCGGGAGGAGGCAGGTGCTCCAAGCCAGGAGGTCGCTGCAGTGGCATCGGAGGTTGATTTGGTGGGCGAGAACCACCCGGAGTCATGGGGCCCTGGCCGCCTTGAGGGAAAGGAATGTCCTCAAAGTAGCCCATAGGCGGGCCGTTGGGGGCCCGTCGGCGGAGCTGCTCGTTGTCAGGCCGCTGCATATTGGCAATAGCAGGGTCGTCGAAGAAGTTTGGAGTTTTCTGGCCAGTCAGCCCAGGGGGAGGACGGGGCATCATCTCCGGCATCAAGCCCGGAGGAGGAGCTGGTCCGGCATTTGGGGACCGCTGAGAAACACCACCTTGAGGTCCGGGGCCAATTTGAACCTGCTGCATCAATCGAAGGAGATGATCACGCTCACCAGGGTGGGGTTCCTTCCCGGCCATCTGGGCCAAGGGAATCTCTTGAGATGGGCTCGCAAAGTCCGGACGACCCATGTGCTCTCTGACAGGAGAAGACATGTTCATGGCCGCGCGAGCATGATCTGGGTGGACCATCGGCGACGGCCGAGAATGTTCGTTTTGATGAGGTGTACCGTGCGGTGGGCCGTGTCCAGGACCAGCAGCACCGGGGCCGCCAAGCATCGCCAGAATTCGTTGGAATCCCTCTTGGTCCGCCTCTTGGGGGTTGGCAGGGGTACTTCCAGCTGAAGATTTAGGAAGGGCGGGTGACTCTGGAGCTCTGAACGGGCTATCGGGTGGAGGGCTGAAAAGTCCAGCAAATCGAGATGACTTTCCAGACTTTGCGACATAAGAGTTGTCCTTCTGCGGGGTCGATTGGACCTGAACAGGCGATGCAACGGCCTCGGGAACTGGTGGCTTCGGTTCTCCAAGCATACCGAAAAACCGGTCCATAGAGGTATCTCCCATGAATTGAGCGCCGGAGCTAAAAATCTCGCCGTCTGTACGGTGCGTCTCGGGTTTCTGGGTAGGGATATCCGATTCGATATATTCTTCCTTCCTCTCCGCTTGCGATGGAGGGGGTTGAGCAGTCCCTGAGCCGGCCTTCATACGCTCTTTCCAGCGCTCAAAGTCTTCCTGTGTGTGCGCCCGTCGGGGCTCGTCACGATCGTTCGCATCCAACCATTCGGGTTCTGATTCGACTTTAGCAGTACCACGAGCCCAGTCGCGGTCTGCGCCGTGGCGATCGCGCCGCCATTCTCGGTTGCGTAGCGCTGGCTTGTCATCATCTGCTTCGATTGCTTCATTGCCGTTCTCTTCACGGAACCAGCTTCCATCGTATTTGGTTCTTGTCGTCGGCTGACCCTCCTTTCGTGCAGGGAAGCGGCCATCCCGATCCCGGACTCCACGTTCACTGTTGAGGGGATCTCGAGGCGCCTCGCGGTTCTCCCATCGATCGAATTCCCCGGTGCGTCGAGGCTTGCGTTCTTGTTCTTCTGGTGGAAATGTCCGACGCGTGCGCCCAGCATTCCAGTCTTCCTTCTCTCCACGTCGGCCGTTCAGGGCAGCGGGTCGTCCGTCTCGCCGGTCATAGTCTCTCTCCTGGGTGGTGTCTTTTTCTTTGAAGATGCGATCTCGGAAGTTGAAACGGTCATTCTTCTCATCCGTCTCATTTGGACGGGCTGGTCGGTCAGTCAGGTCAAAGGAGCCTTTACCTCCTATGCGGGATGAGGCAAAGTTGGTCTTTGGAGGTCCAAGCACGATTTCATCTACACCCAGTTCAAAAAATAGAGTCAGTCAATATCAGATGGAGGGATAGTATAAACGAAGGATCATGGGCGATACCTGAATTGGAGCCCCGCGAGATATGGCGAGCTTCGAAAAAGCTCGGTCTTCTATTTGTAGTTGTTTCGGATGGGTTATTGGGGTCGCGGGTTGTTGGTTGCTTGCGTTGGGTCGTAGGGTCGGGTTGAGGCCTTTTGCACAGAGAGGTGGATGGTTAGTCTTGGGCCTGAAACGATGCGGCACGTCGATCAGAAAGATGAAAAGAGCTGTACATACATCCATTCTTCAATTGGGGGAAGGCCTGGAGGTTTGGCGACAAGAGGCGAATCGCGCAGCCATATTAGCTCGTCGATCTTGTACCGTCGCGCCATGACGGCGGTGTCTGGGAGAGTGTGTGCGGTCTTTATCGACAAAGGTTTATGATCCCCTCATTGGTCGATGGGGGTGGTATTCTGCAATTCACAGGAGTATTCGGGGGTGAGGCCAGGGAGGCGTATGGAATGAGGTCGTCACAGGGAGAAACCGTGGGGGTTGGAAGGTTTAATCCAGAAAACGAGATCGAAAGAGGTCGGGGTGAGGAGAAGCGGACAAGCCACTTGTGGCGAAGCTCAAGGCGGAGTCGGCGGTGACAGGAGATTCCAGCAAGGAGATACTCCCACAAGGCAAAAAAAAAAAAAACAAGGATCAAGTGGATCTGAGAGGAGTTTTCGGGGGTAGGGTAGCAGGGTGGTCGAACATAGGACGGTGGTAAAGTGGAAGAGTGGGAGAAGTGGGAGAAGTGGGAGAAGGTGAGGTTGAAAGTCGAAATTGAAGTTGCCGAGGGGTCACAGCCGAAAGGGGCAGCTCCTTCAGAGTACAAATTATGTGAGTTAGAATATCAGAGCCCCCCCGATAAGACTGACTCGGTAGTCAACTGTTCTAAATGATAAATAAGCTGATATAGTACTCAACTTTGAATCTGGACAGGGAAAACAGAAGAATAGACGAAATCATGGAGCTGCTGATGGTGTTGAGCTTATCACGCGGTCAAAGAGACAGCCTTGAAGAGGGGAAGTGTGTAATACTAGTATGTGAAGGCAAAAATGTACTCTGAGTCGGTATGCAAATTGATCCTGATTGTCCACCTGGTCACTTCTCAATAGAAATTCAATTGTTACTACTAGTTGTGATGTTGAGTCTCCTCCTTGCCTATTCACAATCGTCTATACCCAGGCTGCTGTGTATGTGACCTACAACGAACAATAGACTGCCTGGCTTTTACTAATAGTATTATTCTGGTAGAATCCCAAGGAAATATTTCAACTAAACAAAAGATCACAGTGTGAATGTTTTCTGTTTCTAGTAGGCACTGGCTACCTAGTCTAGTACTAGTATTTTGGTAATTTACGATAATACCTCCAGATTTCCAGATTTCACCCCGTCAAATTAAGTAGAAAAACGAAGTCTTATAATACATCTATCTATTCATCACCCCTTTTATGCCTGTTCAATCTGCTGGAGCGCCTGCTCAATCGTGCCCGCACTCCAAGCGTCAACTCGTTCGCGATCAGACATTTCGTATAACTTCCGCGCGAGAGCCGAGAGGAGAGCCGCCTCCTTAGCATTGGCCTCAGTGATCTGGACCTGAACCCAGCTAATGATGGCAGCCCGAGTGATGAGCGTCGTGCTGCCACCAACTTGGGCGGCACGGAAGATGATATGCAAGATCTTTTTGCGAGCCTCGGTGCCAATGCTTGAAGACTGATATAGCGAGAGGATGCGTTCGAAGACATTCGCACGACGGTAGATTTCCATATCCTAAAAAAGCCAGCCCATTAGCCACAGCTCTTATGTAGAGAGTTCTCAATAGGATTAGTTATAGACTTACCGCTTTGCTGCGAAGACCCTTCACGAATAATCCCAAGAGCCAATCAATCTCGTCGAAGAATCCATCATCCAGCTCAGGCTCGTGCAAGAAGATCTTGTCGATCCAGTAAGACGGGATCTTTTCAACTTCCCATGCTGGCCCCTTTTGCAAGAATTTGTTCACTTTGCCATATACCTTGTGCAGCGGGCTTGTGATGACCGCAAGGCAGTTGGCCGCGCATTCACCGACAATCCAAGGGATGGGCTCACCCGCACTGATACCAAGCGCGTTGACGGTCTCGAGTAATTCACCAGTCAGGGTGTACACAGAGCGCCATTCGGCGTACTTGGATTCCTTCAATTGGGCCATGAAGCGTGCAACGTTGGCGAATGCTTGCCTCCGCACTTCCTCGTGCTCGGAGCACAAGCAGAGCATCAGCTCGGCAATCTGGCCTTGCTCCACAGCTGCTTCGAGTTCCTCTCTCTCCCATCGGTTCAGTGCGTTATGAGTCGTGCCTTCGGTGGGAAGGAAGCCAAATATTTCGTCCAAATCCACCTCCGCGGGCTTGATGGAGGAAGTTGGCTGAGTTGGGCCAGAGTCAATCTCCATTTTATCTTCCGATTCGACATCTTCGACTCCCTTAAGACATTTTTTCAGCGCAGAGCGGACCTTCTTGGCTTTGGTGGCTTCAGTCAGGGCATCACGCGCGGCCTTTAGAGCACTTGTGTTCTGTTCGGCTTGCTTGAGTTGGCCGAATAGCTTGGCAATCCAGGTGCCCACGGCAACTTCGGTGCTTGCGTCGCCTGCCTTCACCACAAAGGGCCACTGCTCGACAATAGCAGCCACAAAGGGGCTTGTTGTAGTAGCAGCATCCTTGGAGAGCGAGTTGAGGAGGTCGAGGTAATGAACAGGTTTCTTAGCCACGCGAGAAATGCAATTCTCGATGAAAACCAGCTGCTTGTGCAAAGTTTCCGATTCAGCATCCTCAAGACTTGTCAAGAGCGCATTGAATGACAGCGGAGAACTTTGGAAGACAGAACTATCCACAAGGACAGTCCTTAACAGAACAGAGATTCGTCGCGAAGAGACCTTGTCCGAGGTTCCGACAAGGACTTTGAGAACCGAGGTGAACGGCGAGTATTGCATAGAGGCTGGTTTCTGCCACCAACGCATTGATGTGGATTGCTGTGCGATCTGGAGAACACTCTGAAGCTGGCTTAAGAGCAGCTCGGAATCGTCTGCACTAAGCTCCGACTCCTCTAGTCGCTTGAGAACCTCTACTAGAACTAGTGACACATCGAAATTCTCTTCTAAGGCGATGTCGGGCATCACATCATAATAGAAGGTCAATAGCTCCGCCACGGCCTGCTGCTGTTGAAGATCTTCCTTGGCGGTTCGTCGGAACAGGAGGATAACATCCTTGAGAGCGGGGCAACGACGAGAGAACTCAGCGAGCAGCCTTGACGAGGCTTGGTTCCAAAACAGTTGTGCTTGGCCATGGTCCTCCCGGAAGATCTTGAGAACTGCCCGCAATTTTGTAAATGCAAGAGACAAGATTCGCACCGAAAACAGGGTAATGATCTCCGCATTCTGGTTCAAACAGCGAGACATAATCTTCTGGCTCAAAGGGCGCGGGAGAATGTTTTCAATGACGATTGAGACTGGTGGCGGCAGGATCGGTTGTTTGTCTTTCCAGCCACAATTCGTAGGAACAGGAAGTTGTACCGTCGAAAATAGGAATGCAGACTCAGCCATCCAGGAGGGTGTTGCTTTAGGGTCGGCTGTGAACATCGTCTTCTTGGTGAAGTAGTCGGCAATCAGCTCTGGTGCAACCTTGAAGATTGTTACGAGCAGTTCAATCTGGAGACTATCGACATCGGGGCGTAGACATTGAATCAGGTATGACAACGTGCCGTTGCGAACGGGAACCAACTCCCGGTATTTGTCGACATAAATTGGCGAATCGAGGCCCAGCTCAATACACTCATCGTCGTCCACAGGAAGCCTCTCCGGGTCAACTCCGACCGGATACCATCCCGACTCAGGAAGAAGTACGCCAAGATCGGCGGTTTTGCAGAGGTTCAACAAGATTCGGTGGATCTCATTCGAGATTGAGATTCCTTCGGGGTTGGGCTCATCGGATTCTCGGTCGTAGCCATAAAGTGTGACCAACTTCTCCATATTTCCTCGGTTGAAAAACTTGCTCTTGGACTTTCGTGGAATAGAAGCATCCTGGATGATATCTCTCTCAATCGCCTTGACCACTTCCAATGTGATATCCCGAGGATCTTTGCGGAGAGGCTCGAGGAATGCTCTGGTGAGTTTGAACTGCTCAATGATGTCGCTCTTCTCGAGTGTATGTTGCACCCTCAGATTGGCGAGTAAATAGCGTTGGGCATTTCGGCGAAGTGTCGACTTTGATGCCTCCTCCGGATCCGCATCAGGATTAACCTTGTTGGGAGTTAAAAAGATCTCCAGACGCTTAAAGGCGATATAGCGGCGGTTGTATAATTGCCGGGCCACCGCACCGCCATCATATGTGACGATTTCGGTCAAAAGGCGGAGACAAGGAGAAATAAGATGCTCTTTCGCTTTTGCGGCAGTCAGGCCACGATTGAAAAGCCTCAGTTGATCCTTCTGTAACAGATGCTTGCACAGGGCAAGGCCAAAGTCGCGGAAATCAATCTCTCGAGAGATGGTCTTCAAGAAGATGGCAAGTACCGAAGGAACAGTAGTCAGGAGTGGCTCATTGTTGTTAGCGTCCGCAAAGCTCCAGGACTGGATAATGTCTGGGAAGCAGATGGAGTCGCCTTCTTCCTTCCCCGGCGAGATTTGCTTATCGCAGTAGCCCTTCAGAACCTTCAGCTTCTGGGCCTTGTCTTTTTCTTTTTCCGGGTTATGGATAGAAGAGAGAAACTCTTTGAAATGAACAAGGCCTATATTCTCAGATTAGCGACCGCAATCCTCAGGTATGCGATGCAACGATAGACTGACCTTGCTTGGCGGTCGCCGGATTTTGTTGAAAGACTAGCAACTCGCGCAACTGGGCCGGCGATGTAAAATTCACCTCTGGAACTGGATGGGAATCATCATCCAGCTTTCTCCTCTTAGCCCGTAGTGGATGCTCTGTGATGTGCGACATTCTTGTGGTGACAAGAGTGTTGGTGTTATTTTTTTCTTGGTCGCTGCGAGGTTCGGACGCCATCGAAATTTTGCGGTCGCTGATTGGCCCGTTGTAGCCTGCGGCACCAACGGCGATCCTGGTGCCTGAGGCAGAAACCCATCAACGCAGCTCCGCATCTGTGAAGCTCAAACTTCATCAATTTCATCAACTTTATCAGCTGCCTGAGCGCTAGGCTCACAGTAAACTCCAGAGAAGACAGACAGAATCATATGTCTTATCTTACCTTAGCTCTCAATGGAGAGTTCAGAAGAGGCTCAAAAACAAAGGTCTCGCGCACACCGGCGCAAAACCCCAGTCGGTCTCGTGGGCGTCGGCTGCGTTACCCACTGCCTTGATGACGTTCGTCATGGTCTCCGATGGGCTGAAGAAACTTCTCCCGAGACATACGAAAAAGCTCTTGGAGATGCAGTCCGGGGTTCTCTCCGGTACGAAGTAGAAGAAATTCTCATGTACCTCCTAGACGAGGAAAACGCTACTGTGGGCTATCTAAATCCCCAAAGATTGTTTGACATGAAGTCCAAGCCTCTATGGTTAGAGGCGGTGGAGCGAGGGTGGGACGCCGGCCAGCTTGGCTCAACATTCAGCCACGAAAACTTACGATTCCTCGACCTGGCCTGCAAAGACCTAGATCTGGTACGCTGTCTCTCGACCATGGGGCGAAATAGACGATGGCAAAATCGATGATTGGGCTCATCCATGTATCCTTGAATCTGCGACTAAACGTGGAAACGTTGAGGTATACAAGTTTTTACAAAGCCTTGGGGCTCAACAAGGACCATACGATCTCGTCATCGCTTCCAAGCGTGCGTCTATAAATTTTCTGGAAGATGCAATGGGACTAGCCCGATACTTTCTGAATGATCTAGGATGGGATGTTAACCGCGAAGCCCCCCCCCCCCATGGGTGGGATTGCCTATTTGCCGTGGTATCGGCCCTGAAATCTCTGGAGGGGACCGTATCACACGCTTGCTGCTTGAGCAAGGAGCAGATCCATATCGCCAGAACGAATGAAAAATAATAAAGTTATTGCGGTATTAGAGGAATGGAAGGGAGGGAAGAGACCAAGGATAACGGAATCATAGCGTCTGGTCTTAGGAATTTTAGATTATCATCAATCAGCTTCGTAGACCAATTCTACTTCCTGTACAATTTATGATAGACTTGAATATCTGAAAAGAAAAATCAGGTACGTATAGTAACCTACATAAGTGTATAGGGAATGCTACGAATATACGATATAACGAGCTTGGTCCTTGCATTGGAGTGTTTTGTTTCTTTCATCGACGTCGTTAAACAACGTGGTTCTAGACATCCTTTCATGATGAACCTCATGAGTAGCCTGCGTACCACGAACGATAGACGCCGCCGAGCCGGTGCCTGAAATTTAGTGCTCGTTATGGATCCCACACGTTAATGTACTTATATCCTGCCTGTGACAATCTGTGTATTCTATGTTCGTGTTCTATATGACTTGAGTACCTAAATTTATTCTACTATTGGGAACTTGAAGCTTTCTTGCGCTCGGTAAATCAACTGGTATTGTTGGTAACTAGCAATCATTTGTAGGCTAGACAGAAGCAAGGTTCACAAGAAAGATAGCTCTAGCATCATATCGTAGGCTCTCGAAGTACGATATACCAGTGGCAGGATGTTATTTCCATTTCGGTTAGCTAAGAAGGCCGACCCAAAGAGATTTCGGCAGCAAATCAGTAGCTTTTGATTGATTGTCCGGCTAGGGCGAGGGAATACAGCAGTTTCCATATCCATCTTTAATACTAGTAGCGATCATATATCTCATCATGATTCAGCTAAGCCTTGATCCGAAATATTTTATCACATGGATCGTGGGTTTTTCTGACACAGTAAGTAAGACTCCAAACCTTGGAAGATTAGAAGGGCTTCCACTCACCGAGTTTGAACTATGTCCAACTCTTCAATTCTGTCCCAAGCAGCCGCTCCCCAAGAGGGAGGCACATCAGTGAAAGTGAAGACGTAATCGTGTCTCAAATGCTCTTTGACTTGATATAGAAGAGAAATAATGTGATCTATGAATTCATCATAGCTGCTGAACTGAGTAGCAGGAGCACTAGTAATGGTGTATATTTCGTTCTCGACGTACTGTGAGTATTGAAGTTCCATAGTGGAAGATGAAAACGACGATATAGAAGAGAAGGTGGAAGTAAAAATATTTCTGAGGTTTAGGTAGATTAGTAGTACGAATGCATACTGCATGCATCACTTTGACGTACTACATATTCGTTTTTAAGGTTCTACCCCCAAGGTTTTGATCGTTCAACTTCCGGAATATACTATTGATAGTAGCTAATAATTAGGTAGTAGCTACTATTTAGGTAATCTGGCTAGTTAGTTACCACGTACACTACATATAGCTTTAACTCCAGCTCGCAGTCATAGTAGAAACTAAATAGATAGAGAATATACGAATTTCCCCCGGATGACATGACTGTTCCCAGATTCCGTAACTCTGACCGCTCGTGCTTAAAAATTAGGCATCCGGCCCCGTGACGTCTATCGTTCCCTGTATCTGCTTCGGATGGGAGACCCAGACAGTGTGCAGAGTATATTCTGTATACTCTGTAGTGACTTTTTGGGAATGTGTGATCAAGGTACTCCTTCCTCTGTATGAGTTATATGACCATATTGTAAAGAGTTCAGTATCAATGTTCAAGTCAAGCTGCCAGTGCGGGTGGTTGATTATTCGGGCGGTTGAGCATTCGGGCTATATTTACCACTTAACCCAAGAACATACAGAAATTATAATGACGTTAATCAAGACCGCGCCTCATCACTGGCAGGGAATGAACTTTTGATTCTTTAAGCGAAGACGAACCAGCAAATTGACAAAGCAGAGGTATCCGGTTCACGCTCTTCAGCGGCTATAAGCAGCAAAATACACTGCGTGCATCTCCATGACTGTAGCACGATCATATGGGTCACCTCAAATTTTCACATTCGACCTAGACAGGGCAGCATGCACCCTACAAACAGAACTGTGAAATGAAGTAGCAGTGGTATGAGGGCGGAACTATCCGCCATTTTGGTGAATTGTGCGCAAACTGCGTATTGTTGTTGTGCGGGAAGGCGAAGACGTGTGCAAACCATCCCAACTTCTTCCATACTGCTGCCCTCTCTATTTGACTTCTCTCTCGACGCCCGGTAATCATGGATCTTTCCGGCATGCAGATGTCACTTTCTGTTGAAAACGGAGTAAGTTCGGAGCCCAGTCCATTCTGTATACCTTTCTGAGCTCCACTGACTTTCCAACAGGCAGCACACATCAGACTAGTCCGGACTCACCGAGAGGAATCACCCTGTGTGGAGGCATTGCAGCGAGTGAACTCTCGTTCGCACGATTTATCAAGCCCACAGGGCTCCCCTAATGGGCCTGGATCTCCTCGTTCGCTACATTCCATGACGTTGCGTTCCCAGACTCGATCTAGTCTCACACCTGCTCCCTCACCTGAATCCAGCGCTGATGTGGACCTTCCCAATCATTCCATCCATATCCGAGCCCCAGGACGTAAGTTCATTGAAACTGAGCTCTTTCTGGCAATTCCATTATGTTGGAGAATCCTTTTGCACAAACTCACGCTCTTCATCTCTTCATGCAGGTGGAAAACAGACAATGACACCACACGCAACTCCAGTGACCCCAGAGTCCGACGCCTCAGCTCCTCCCGCAAATGCAGGCAGTCCTAGTCCAGAGGCTCATCAACCGCACATGAACTTATCCTCTACCCCAAGTCGCAGCAGATTCCGTGCTTGGGACCTTAATTCTCCGCCAAGATTCGTCATCTGGGAAGATTCCCCCCAACGAGGCTCGCAGATTTGCCCAACTGGCCATGTTTTCGAATCCATCAGAAGCGACGACAAAGAAAACGTGTATACCACCGTCATGGACTACGATACAGAACCAGAATCAGAAAGTCAGACTGTTGGCACGGACGAGATGAGGCTGCCAGCCGGTCCTCGCGACGTCCTCGGGATGCCCATCACTTCCATTTTTGGGCCTACTCTCTTGCAACATTCTCAGGGGACCGATGCCACGCCTTCTGCCCAGCCGACTCCTGTCGAGAACAATGCTCGACTCACGATGCAAGTTGCACTGCGCGAGGAGGACGAAATGGACATGGAGTGGAATGATGGTCCGTCGCCTCACGAGGGCGAGGAACTTGCCCGAGTGAACGATACAATTAATCGGGGCGCGGAGCAAAGATGGCAATACGAGCGAGGTTCTCCCGTGCGTGATCACAATGTACAGAGGCAAAGAAGACACTTCCTTGAGGTTCGACGTACCGCTCATTCTCGGCGGCACCAGGACCGTCGTCGTCGTTTCACTGGGGCGGGCAGCCCCCGATGAAGGACTGTCCTCGATGAAAATGACGGAGGCTCCATGGCTGCCCTTGCGTTCCAATATGTGATGTTGATACTAGTTAGCGCACCCTAGTGTGATTATGATGATGGCCTTGATGATAATGATAACGAATTTCATTCTCGCAAATATTGCCCTAGGATTCTGTGAGAATAATACCAGTAGTACCTAGGGCAATGCATGTATCCATGGCCTCCATAGCTTCAATCGGTCCGGTGTTTCTAGCAGCCCTGGAGTGTTTCAAAATCACCAAGACGCTGCTACCGAAGCCATTCTTCCCATACGAATTTCTTGATCCCAGCAATTCAATGTAGCTCTAATTACCTAACTAGCTATGAAACTGGGTAGGAAACTGTCAACTACTAAGTAGTATAATACTAGTGTTTATATCTCCAATCTCGCTAGTGGCTATACAGGCCCATCACTGGCATCTTAGCGTTAATTACTACCCACTACCCCGGAAGCAAAGAGATATCAGCATAGTAGAGGGTAAAAAGAACCCCGGGCCGCTCAGGTGCATTCAAAAGACCTTGATGAGATAAACAATACATGAGAAAGAACGAGCAAGCAAGCAAGCAATTCCCGATAACCCTTGAAGAAATGATGCGTTGATTACGACTCTAGGAACTCGAACCTTGGAATCACATGATCTTGGCGAGAGTATATGTACTGGCTGCTCCTTCAACTTGAACTTCTTCCTGAGTAGTTCAAATTCATCTTCTTTCTTCTTCCTCTTCCCTTACTAAGCTTAGGTACTATGTCGGAAAATACCCTGTCTCCATCCGCCGTTCAAGATTCGGATTCGGAGTTTCTCATCACGACATCAGCCGACAAGTTCAAGACCGTATATGATTTTGTACAGCATGTGTATTCTGTCGTTGCAGAGGTGAAATAACATCGAGTTTTTCTGTTCGCTGAAGTTCCCGAATCATGGGGTAGAGCTGCTTTCGAGGCGATTGATGAATTTCTTCCTTGCCGGTATGTTAACAGAGCTATCTGATGATCGGGGGGGCTTTTATTTATTCAAGTTCTTCCAGGCAAACTCTGGATCCCTACAATCGTACCTTGCAAATCAAAGTCAAGCCAGAGTATTTGCACGAAATCGCTTATCAGTTCATCCCCCTGATGATCGGGCAGTGGCGCTATGTTGACCAAATTCTCACTCAATCGGAGCGCGACCTGCTAATGAGTTCGGGCAGTGCAAGTCAGTTATCTCATCATTTCCGCCTGAAAGAACTGGGCTGACATAAATGGAATAGCAATTGTTTTCAATTCTGGATTATACAAAGGTTGGCAAAAAGCTCCTGACTACTCCATCATGGTGGATGGGCATCGTTTTCCAATCTTCGTAGTAGAATCTGGATGGTTTGAGAGTAACACCAAACTTTTTGACGACGATATCAATAAGCTTTTGGTTGGGGGAACGGAGCAATCGATCTTGTAGCTCTTTTGAAATGGCGGAAGCTATCAGATAACCGCGTCTCCGGAACTATCGAACTATACAAACGAGACAATGCCAACATAGCTCGACTAATACAGCAAGAGGTATGTTCAAGACAATTACAACACTCCATAAGCGCACGGTAGTCAGTAGTTTTATATAGGGGTATTTTACAGTGGTATTGCAACAGTTTGGAACCTCCTATTGCCCACCATTTTTGGCTGTCTTCCATTAGTCAGGTGGAGACCAGGCTGGTCAACAAAGGCTTGGAAACATTTGCGGTGCCTGTTAAAAACCGCTATACGAGTACATATGCAACTAGTACTGACAACCGTGCGCTTATGGAGCGCCTCGGCCACAGAGAATATTTTTGATTAATGGGTTACATACTAATCCCTCAAATCTCTGGACTATGTTCCCACGCCAGAGCCCTGCAACCAACCAAATGATTGGGATCAAACGTCGTGACTTGTTTGGCTCGGCTTTGAGGCAAGGGAGAAATGGGAATGATGTGATGAACCTGGACCTTGAGCTCTTGCGAGATAAGTGCATAATATCGCTTACTAGAATGGGTCTTGTCCCCGCATAGTTCACAATGAGGCCGTCCGGGATTACTTGCTAGTTCGTTCTCCTTTCTAGACACGTCTTGTCCGTCCTTGACTATATAGAAAATTTAAAGAACCCAGCAACCGAACTAAATCTATGAATGAAAAGTGGTTCCAAGTTAAAAAATATTGATGCTACATAGCACAGCTCAGCACGCGGTCCCCTTCAAGTGAAATACTGAAGTTGAGAGATTCTTCTAGAGATTCATTTCCGTCAGGCAGATCGGATGTATCGACATCCAAAACGTATAGATTCACACCTTGTGCCTTGTTTCTCTGCGATTATCCGCTTTCATTAAGCACCCCAAGACCAAGACAAAGGCCATAGCAACGCCATTACAACAACAAGTGGCAATGAGGGCGGGAATGCACTTGGTGCGTATTTCACGCGGAAGGTGATGGCCGATAGGATGCCGGCAAATTTCAAGTCCCACCAAGAGGTCGGTAGTAGCGGCATGACTATTCTCATTTAGGTTGTTGTTGTTGTGCCATGACTGCACAAGACATGAAGGGATGTAAGAGCCAGCAGCCATGAGAGATAAGATCCACAGTTTTACGATCCTTGCAATTCGGATCGCATTCCCGTTTTATCTGCCATTTCAGCAGCCACAAGGCCCCCATCCAACTCCGAAGGACGTGTTGGCACCCGCGCAGTTTGCTGGTTTATGCCCAGCTGGGAGCTAGCTAGTAGTCGTCGCCTTGAGATTTCGCAATATATCAAAAGTGCTGTGGATATCAGGAGAGGTATGCCCAGACCAGCTCCGAGACCAGCTCCGAGTGCAACTGTAGACGGATGAGATGAAGACGATTCTGGGCATGTCGTCGCTGACGCCGTTACTGTCGCAGTTGAATCAGTCGCAGCCGTTGTACACGCGGTCGTATTGCCAGATCCCATATCTTCGCACGTCGAGGCGCCATTCTGAGCTGAAGTAACGTTTCCTCCTGCGGTCCATATCCACGAGCCCATAGCATCTTCGCCGCAGGCCGTTTCCGCGTCTGCTCGGGTACTACATGTCATGTTCTTCCAGTTACCATTGCTGGGGCATTGGAAGAGGTTCGCGTATTTATCTTGGATTTCTGTGGACACGAAATAACTCGATCAGCGATGAGCTCAACAAGATAGAGCACAAGCTCATGGGGTAAAGCGCAAACATACCACTGTAGCATGCCCGGGGGCATTCTGCTATCGGCCAGGACTTGTCTGCACAGCTACCGCGATATATGACTCCCAGATCAGCTCCAAAACAAAGTCCATTCGAAAGACACGCCTGGTTTTTACCGCAACATGCCTTGCTGTTAGGGCAAGGCATCATGCTGGCTGCGGTCGAGCCATCTGGATAGTAACAGGTGTCTGCATCAGCATAACTCGGCACTATATATATAAGCAGCCACAAGAAAGATAATTTCCCCAATCGGAATCGATTGGGTGAATACATTGAACTGAGATTCATGGCTTGAGGAGGAGGGGAGCCTCAGTCGATTGCCCCCGAATCCACGACGCGCCCTAACATGCGCTAAATCACGAGACCCTGACCTTGAGTCTCCACGGACGGGTTGGATTTGGGGGCGAAAGTATATGATTAAATGTGGAGCACGCAGGGACTAAAGTAGATAGTCCAATGTTATCAGAGTGGAGCTCCTGAGCCGAATGTGATTGAAGTACATATTCTGTAGGAATCTGAAAATGGGCGAGCGGTTGTTTGACATGCACGGCCTGGTGCAATTATCGGTCCTGTAGCCGGACTTGCACAGGCAGCTCCATGGCTGGCAGACTAAGTTACGAGAGATTATAGCACGGGTATTTCCAAATGGTATACTAAAGCCAAAGATTAAGAACTTCTTTATGTTTTTCTTTGGTCTCCGGAAATTTCTTATTTTTGTTTAGAATTTCATCTTCTTCGTGAGCATTGGGGAGACAGCCATTCTTCTGCCGTTGGAGATGGCGTCGTTCTTTGGCTTCATTATCATGCCTCATATTCAGATGTTTGTCCGGTTTGGGGTCTAGTAGTCGACTTTTTGATAAGGATTGGACTTTGGCACAGACAAGTTGAGGTGGGATGTGCATTTGATGGAATGTGGAAGGGGAATCTGGGCCGCTTTTTATATTGAGAAATTACAACCGTACTCAAGACATGATAGAGAAATCACCACTTTTAATCATGTCATCCCAAAACGAGAAAGAATGAACAAAGACAGTACTCTCATTCCCATTTTCGATATGGTGGGTAGAAATGGCGCAGGCCTTTTTTCTTAAACGGATACATTCAGCTTACAAGCATGAGCGCGCTAGTTGTCACGGAATAAATGACCTGTTAGGCCGTACCGATTTGGGAATAGCCTTAATTGGACATGGCTCACAATCGGGTAACTACCGAGGTAAGCATCGAATGATGACTGAGCAGCCCTGAGTGATGACTGAGTCTGAGCCCATGCTGACGTCTACTTACTGAGCCTGAGCCTGAACGCCCTTGCAAAAGCGGCGGCAGCCAAGAAAAGAAAGCCCCCTATGGCAGAGATTATCTGTATAGCTGAATATACAACTACTGACCACCCTGCGCTTATGGAGCACCGTAGCCGCAGGCGAGATATTCGGTTAATGGGTTACATGCTAGTTCGTTAACTTTCCAGACTATTTTCCCACGGCCGAACCTTGCAACAAATGTGATTTGGTTCAGACGTCGTTCGGCTTTGGTGAAAGAGAGAAATGGGAATGATATTATGAGCCTGGGCCTTGAGATCTTGCGAGATGAGTGCACAATATCGCTTACTGAAATGGGTCTTGTTCCTGTGTAGTTCACAATGAGGTCACCCGTAATTACTTGCCTGTTCGCTCTCCTTTCTAGGTAGTTTCTCTTTCTAGGTAGTTTCTGACCTTGGCTATATAGAAAATTCAAAGAACGCAGAAACCAAACTAAATGAACCTGAATATTTGGAATAGCACAGCTTTAAAAAAGCAGAAAATGTCAAATAATGCAGTAAGTAACTAAACTAAATAAATGTCCGAAAACCCTCCGCCCTTCATGATCAATTTTTGTCCAGCATGATGAAAATTCAAATAAATCCACGAATGAACCATGCAAACTAACTCGCAATGCCAGCAGATAAATCAACGAATAAATAATTCAAACCCATTCTGAGTGCGAAGCGCCAGAGAAAAAAAATGACATAAGGCGAAGAAAGAAAAGGAAATATGAAGATCAAAACTTGCTGAAAATGTCTGCAATTTGCCCTCAATCCACAATAATGGGCGTTTCCTTCTTTCCAGGCTGACGGGGAATAATCTTGATTCCCCCTCCCTTAACCTGTTGAATTTCCCCGAACCACTCAAGGAGCTGTTTATCCGTATCACGGCCGGCGAGAACCTCTGGGCTAATGACTTCTTGGATCTTCCTGCTCTTGTCCTTCTGCATAGCAAGAAGCTTGTCATCAATCGTACCCCCTGCGACAAGCTTGACGAACTGCACCTCACGCTTTTGGCCAATCCGGAATAGTCGACAGAGTGCCTAATGCTTGGTTAGAAGGAGTATGGTATCAAAAGAAAAGCAAAGCTTTTTTTTTACTTGCCTGTTCCTCTACAGCCTCGTTCCACCATAAATCGACGAGAATGCATTTGTTGGCAGCAGACAAATCAAGACCGACTCCACCAGTTCTCAGCGACGCAATCATGATTTTTATATCGGTATTTTGACGGAAACGGGTGATGTTCTCATTTCGCACTGGAATCGACATTTTTCCAGTTATCTATTCAAATTAGAAACAGGGCTTACTAAATTTGCGTTGAGTAACTTGCCTTCGTGTAGTACCATCCCTCTTCCTCGCATATTTGTTCCATCAATGTCGTGGTGTCGATGAATATAGAGAACATCACTATTTTGACTTTGTCGTCCTTTTGCATAAAATCTCGAATAAGCTCTCGAGTTTCGGTAAGCTTAGCGCCGGGTGTCTTTTGGCCGATGATAGGAATCCAGTCTTCATTGGGGTCATCTGCTTCGGGAGGATCATCTTCTTCGTCATCACTATCGTCGTGAAAGCTCGGATGAAACCTGCCGTATTGAGACTTGAACGCCTTGGAGGATTTGGAGGGCTTTTTAGCTCGCTTGGTACCGTTTCCACCTGTCCTGTGTCTCTGAGTGGTTTGATTTCCCCGCTTTCGCTTCTTTGAAGTAGTAGAAACCGGGGAAGCTGCTTGTTCAGGGTCGATTCTGTCGAAGATATTGTAGGAGGCTGCTTCAGTGATAACCTGCGTGCAACTGTAACATACCAGGGTCTCTGTGTTAGACCCAGCTTCCGTACTTGAGAGAGAATCGAAGCACTCTTCACAGTATAGATGATAACATGAGGTTAAGATGCCTGCCTGAGGTGGGAACTCGCAGTGAGCACAGCGCAGTCGTCTGTGGCGCTCAACCCAGTGTCCTTCTTCACGAAGTTGTTCCAGGAACTTTTCAAAATTAGCAGACAGGATTTTGTAGTTTCCTCTCAGCCTCGGGCCTAGTACGAGAAGTTGATTCTGAGCCCTAATTGGGGCTTTTGGAACGGATTCAGCGTCTGTCATGACCATCAAGGACTCGACAATTTGAGTTGATGCATCGTTTGAGTCTGATGTTGTCAAAGTTTTGAGATTTTTCATCAAATCGCCATCGTGCTTGAGAGCATACCGGACGATGTCCTGGGAAGTGAGTATATGACTGACGAACATGCGCAACTTGAGAAACATCGTCAAGATACATTTCCATTGCGAGGATGGACGATGAGAAAGTTCTTGAAAATCAGTGTATGTTAGAATCAGGATGCTTGCTGAAAAGACTCCTATCTCTTTCGCTACTTAAGTAGGTAAAGAAGTAGCTACCGTGGCTGGTACCCAGGCCAGGAAGGGGGCTGATAGTTCTCGGCTGAAACTCACTGTTGACGTTTTCAATGAACAAATCGGTCACTGCTTTGTAGAGAGATAATTCCGCTTCGCAGAGATTCACTGTTAGATCTTTCTGTGTGATCTTTGGCATTTCCACTAGTGGACGCCCCATGAAACGACTTTCATGCGTCTTCCGATGGAGGATAGAGCGCAAGATATTGATCAAACGCTTTTTTGATCTTGCAAATGACTTTGATAGAAGGAGGAATTAGAAAATGTCTCATTGAAAACTCATAGATAAGATGACTTCACTCACATCGCAGTAACTCCGTTTGAATACCTCAAAGTGAGAGCTGTTCGGGACGCCGAGCAGATTAAAATATGGGAACATCTCCTCGACACAGCTAATTAAACACCATGACACTGTAAGTATGATATTGCGGGGTAAAATGGTAACAAATAGAACCAAACTTACTTGTGTAGAGGAGTCCCGCTGAGAATCCACTTGAAATACCCAGACAGAGCTCGCACAGCCATGGATGTTTGCGAGTCTCGGTTTTTGATGACATGTCCCTCTGTATATATTGGTTAGAGTACAGCTTTTTGTGCGGGTTTCTTCAGGAAAGGCACACTTACCGTCAAGGACGATTCTATACCATTTGATCTTGTGAAATACGCCTTGCTCACGGTCGTAAAATTCAGACCACCATTTATCGATATCCTCGTCCGATTGGAGTTCACTCGGTACCTTCGGATTTGGATACGATTTGCGGATGTTCTCAAATGTGGCGAGCCTAGGATAGAGTTAGTAGTAAAGATTTATAAATCGAGCCGTGGACCAGATCTTACACCACATCAAATGCAAGAATGCCGTCGGGGTTAAATTCAAAGGCAGAGCTTGATCGCTTGTCCCACTTGTAGACGGTACCAAAAACACCAGGATCGAAATGGAGTTTCATTTGTTGCATCCTAGACAGGGTCAGTATATCTAATTGAATTATAAATGGAAGCTCTTACCAGTGATCAACGAGCTGTGAGGGAACAACGATCAAGGTGGGAGGCCTTCGCTCCTCTCTTTCCAGGCGTCTGCCGTCCAGGATATTTGCAAGTGCCGTGACGGTTTTGCCCAACCCCATCACATCACAAAGCAAACCACCATATGGCGGCGTAGTTGATATTTCTCGATCACGCTAAATTGGATAGCAAATATATTAGTAATTGATGAATAGGGAGACGAAGATCAAAACCTACCATCCAACCCACAGCCAAAACCTAATATTTAGAGTTAGCTTTAATTACTGAAATGATCATAAACTAGACTTTCATACCTGGTGGTGGAAAAGACTTGTTTTCAGGCCTTTAACCTTCCAAAGTCCCTGCTGATCACTTTTAGGCTTGTGGTTGAACTGCCTGATTGCCTCGTTGATTCTCTGTTTGTCTGATCGAGCTTCGGCTTGTTGTTCGGTAGGGATGCTCGCGACCATTTCTTGAAGGGCAACCTTTCGCACATGACTAGAGAATCCTGGGACTGCGGGCAATTCTGAGTTTATCTCAGAAATTCTGACAATGTCACTATGGACAAAAATACTCCGAAGCTCATGATCCGAGAGCCTAGTCGTCTTTGTCTGAGGCTGCCGCCATTTCTGGGGAGATCCGGTGCCAAGTTTGACGCCATCTGACTTCTGCTTCTTGTCTGTGAGAATCTTGCGACGCCCTATTCCTTTTGCGGTCTCCTGTTCCTTCCGGGAGAGTTTGGAGGTTACTACTTTCGGGGATTTCTTTTTCGATTTGGAAGCCGGATCTTGAACAGTCGCCTCTTCGACATTTTCCAACACAGCTTCATGGTGAGTGTCAGCGTCTTCAAGTTCGAGCTCTTGACCCATGGATTGGTCTTTTTCAATGTCGGGATCAAGTGGCTCCTCGGCGAGTTCTGCTAGTTTACAGAACAGCAAATTATCGTCATCGTCGTCGTCGAAATCGTTCTGACCAGCATAGTGTTCAAGTTCGAGGCTATGGCTATGAGAACCGTGCTCACGATCCCCAAAGCCTTCCGAGAGCATATCCACATCACTGGAAGAGCTGCTTTGAAGTGTCAATTGACGTTTTTGTTTTTCATTTCGGGCTCTCAAAAATTGAACTTGGTCCTCTGCTGAGAGGCACTCGAGGAATTCAAAGGGTAGCTCGGGATTCTCTGGACTATAAGAGGTTAGATCAGGAAATCGAAACAATCTCATTTATACTTACCTGTGGATACTAGCTGTCTTCTCACTGGAACTCTCCTTAGATTGAATGTCATCATCAGAAATCTGGATGTTCCATGGACTCGAAGAAAGTTGAGTGTGGAGATCTTCAGCCAGCGACAATGATCGACTAATTTCTTTTTCGAGGGGTAAACTTTCAGGTAGTGGACTTTTGGGAGGTAGGCCTCTGGGAAGTGGACTTTTGGGGGGCTGAGATAATCTGCGTTGGGGTTTCGGCGTGATTTGATCTTGGACGGCTGTTCGGTCATTTCCTTGACGAGTGCTGAGCTCATCACAGGACCTGCCACTGAGTAGATTGGACGCCTGCTGAATTAGCTGTCGACCTTGCCTCGACATAGTCTTAGTCGGAAGGTGCGATTCTGCATCATGATTGCTTATCTCAAGTAAACATTTGTCGAGATGATTCTGACACAAGCGGAAGGCCAGAGTCAGAAACTGATGAGAAACCATGGTGGAGAATATGGAAGGTAAGGTATAATGAAGGCTTCGGTGGGAATTCTGCGAGTCAGAGAGACAATTTGGTTAGTTTGAGATCAGTATTGAGGTTGATATGTCTGATGAGATATGTGTTGTGAGAACAAACCTTTCGATTAATGAAAGAGTTGAGAAGATGAAGAGCATAGTAGATGCGAAGATAAAAAGAGAGGAAGAGGTGATAGATGAAGAGATGGAGAGGAAGATAGGGGGGAGATGAGGAGGTGGAGGGAGGAAGAGAGGGAAGGCGAGGAGAGGTAGTATCTGGGCAGATAAATAGAGGGATGGAGAGATTTGTTGGTGTTAGAAATAATGAGGGGATTTGAGAAAGGACATACTGTTGATAAGGTAGATTGTGCCACCCAGGAACACAGAAGTAGCTAGTAGCAAGACCCAAGAGAGAAGGAGGGAGATGGTAAGAGCGAAAGTAAAGAGGAAGAGGGAGGTGAAGGAGGCAGTAGAGGATAAATAGAAGATAGAATAGAGGAGCGAGTAGAGGGTGAGTAGAGGAGTAAGTAAAGGGATATGTAGAGGAATAAGTGAGTAGAGAAGTATGTAGAGAAAAGTGTGACTTTGGAACATAGATATAAATGATTGAAATAAATTCAGGCTATGAACCAATGGATTATATGAACGGAAGACATTTCTGGACTGACAAACTGAGAAACTTTTCTAATTGACTCGCCAATGGGGTATAAAAATTCACAACGCAATGATCATATCGGCGGCTCTAAGGCCAGGACGCCGTCCAAGATGGAGTCTGGAGTCACATCCATCAGGACATGAGAGACCGCCCCCAGATCACTTCCGTATTGGAGACTGCGGTCGTCATCTGGGTTTGCAACAATCATTCGGTGGCGGAAGACCTTTCTCGCGGCCAGTGCCACAATTGATGGCGTAAGGTAATCGATACCGTGGACTGGAGCCAGGAATCTGGATTTCACAGTCAATAAGCAATATCCCGGACGAAATGGCAGACATAACTTACTGTGCGAACCGAGCAAATTGATTATTTGCCTTCGCAGAGACGCCGCCGGCAACAGCACGGCTGAGACGCAGAAAGACAACGATATCCTGGACATATCGAACTACCTCCGCGCTTGTGGTTACTGATTCACTCGCCTCTCGGAGACACTCGATTTGCTTCAGGTCGTTAGCAACATAAAACGAAACAGGGAAGGAATTATTACTGTAGCATCGATTTTGGCACGTTTCCTTTTGGCCAATTTGGTATTGTGAACAACAGAAGACGCGGAGAGTTGGCCGTCTGAGAACCATTCACTTTCTTCCAGAAATACGAATCCGTCTTCAGGGGCATGGAAATGTGATACCAAGAGATGTTCGGTCTGTGATCTCAAATTAAAACGAGACTAGGAAATTGGCTCGATGGAGAGAAGGCTCACGAGATGTGTCTGTAGAGCAGGCTTGAGCTGATCAGATTCTCGGACTACCAGTGGAATGAATAGGAAGCTTTCTGGTGCACTGAGAGTTCCCATCTCGGTGACCAACTTCCTTGTCCGCATCAACTGTAGATTCCATCAGCATAGCCCCGTTTTCATATTGGGACGAGGCAGTGTTACCTGCAATGCCTGAACCTGGACATCATACTCCACCAGATTGAAATTCTTCGCGATGACCACATTCACCACATTGGTTTCCTCCAAGGGAGTGTTTGGGATTGGGGATTTGCTTCGATCCCGACGGCCCATATATGAGGAGAGATTACTGGACTGTGACACGTTAGCACAAAGCTATGCACAAAGTCCGGAAGAAGGATTCGTGGGAAGCACACCGATTCTGTTTTCATTCGAAAGTATGATGGCCTCTCTTGATTTCTGCGCGCATCTGGGGTGAGAATATCATTGTGAAGCTCCCCAATGGAGGTTGTGGGGGTACAGTCAACAATGCAGAATGACAGTTCAAATGTGTTGGAAGCTATCTGAAGAGTACGTCAGTCATTGGTGCCAAAGGAATAACAAGAAACCGATGAATCAGGGAGTGAGAGGTGTACTAAAACCAACTCTTTTGCGAGATCGTTGAGACAATTGCCCGTGGTCTCAATCAAGCAATGCTCGCGACTCGCTAGGCACAGAAAGAGCGCCACTTCCAGATCAGAGAGCTGTCTGGCAATCTCTTCCAGGTTGTGATCATCCATTTCCCAACTCCATGAAGGTTCTGAAGGCTCCTGGTGAAATGCGATGACGGCAATGATGAGTGGAGGGGAACAGACGGACAGTTGACGTTGGCCTTGTTGCCTTGTTGCCTTACCGCCTCAACACCTGATATTTGGGGCCACAAACAGCTACCACTTTTGGACTAGCGCATCCAACCACCTTGGCCGAGTTCCGCCTGGCCCTCCGTCGCCAACGTCAACACGGGGGGCATGGATTGAGGGTCTGTTCAAAGGCCATCGTCTGTGATACATACCAGCCAGAAATGGCTCCTTCAAATCCCTTAGCCAACTGGGAAAAACTCGGCGACAGTTTCTATCGCAAAATTCCGATCTACGATGCCGTGTTCGATGAAGAGGTCGAACTAGAGAACTACATCGTTGCAGGCGCTCCGTATGGAGGAGCGATAGGTACGACTCAAGCAGGTCTCATTATTAGTGGTGGGACTAGCTAATGACAACTTTGACACAGCGCTCTATCGTGATGATAACAAGCCTTTCAGGTTACGCGACTCGCAAGCATTGCGGTCGGGTATCGACATTTACTCATGCTCAGGCAAACTTATCAATCAAATTAATGTACTTGTGTCTATTATTTCTGTTTTTCAAACTTAACGGAAACTAATTACTTCTCAGTGGGACCAAACAACAATTCGAGGACTTGGATGGTCCGACAAAGAGGAACTCCTCGTTGTTGCCGAAGATGGCACGGTCCGTCGTTACTTTGGGCTAGATGGCGAGTTCACATCTTTCTCGCTGGGCAACGTGAGTCCATTTCCAAAAATTATACCCCTGTTTTCATCAGGAATTGCAAATCGCTGACGATATGCAGGGCGCAGAGGAATACGGGGTGCGGAGCTGCCAATTCTGGGCCTCCGGTCTGGTGGCTTTGCTGTCTAATAATCAGCTAATCTCTGTCTCAAAATACGACGAGCCACGCCCTCGACTTCTCGCCGCCTGTCCGGAGGGCGAGGTCTCGTCTTGGGCGTTAACCCCACCCGCGCATACGCTTTCGCGCTCAGTCGAGGTTCTGCTGGCCGTTGATAAAACAGTCTATCTCGTCGATTCAAACGAAGCAGAAGATAAGATACTGCAGGATGGGCCATTCAAACATATCAGCGTCTCTCCGTCGGGACGTTTTGTGGCACTTTTCACTGGCGAAGGGAAACTGTGGGTCGTCAGCGTCGACTTCCAGAACAAACTCTGCGAGTACGACTCCAAGTCTCGAGTTGTTCCCAGCTCTATGGATTGGTGTGGGGACGATGCCGTGGTTCTTGCCTGGGAAGATGAGATCCATCTGGTTGGCCCCAGTGGAGCCGCATCCAAGTCAGTAAACATACCCTCGATCTTCTAGTACATTATTAACGGCCATTAGGTTCTATTATGATGCCCGGGTCCATGTCATACCAGAATTCGATGGTGTTCGCTTAATAACGAACGACACGTGTGAATTCTTACAAAAAGTCACAGATGTGACGGAGAAGATCTTCAAGCTAGGCTCTTCTACTCCAGCATCAGTGCTTCTCGATTCTGTTGAGCAACTAGAGAAGATGTCACCAAAGGCCGATGAACACATACAGGGCATCAAATCAGACCTCCCTGATGCGGTAGATACCTGCATCAAGGCAGCGGGCCATGAGTTTGATGTACATTGGCAGAAACGTCTCTTAAAGGCTGCTTCGTTTGGGAAGTCAGATCTCGTGCTTTATAACAGTGATGAATTTGTCGCAATGACCGAAAAGCTTCGAGTTCTGATCGCCGTCCGGGATTTCAAAGTCGGCTTACCACTCTCATACGAGCAATATTTACGCTTGACCCCCGAAGGCCTCATCGAACGACTCATAAGCCGCCATGAATACTTGCTAGCAATTCGTGTCTCCGAATATCTCGAGATACCCGCAGATCGAATCTATGTTCACTGGGCGAGCCAAAAGGTCCGGGTCTCCACGGTTGATGACGAGGCCGTATGCAAACTCATTGTCCAAAGACTGGAAGGAAAGCCGGGAATCTCTTTCGAAACAATCGCACAAACCGCCTACGACGAAGGACGAACATACTTGGCTACTAAGCTCCTTGACCACGAACCTCGTGCTGGCAAGCAGGTGCCCCTGCTATTGAACATGGAAGAGGATGAGGTGGCACTGGATAAGGCGATTGAAAGTGGCGACGACGACCTGGTAAACTACGTTCTCTTGCACTTGAAGAGTAAGCTACCTCTCGCCAGCTTTTTCCGCACAATCAACAGCCGCCCTATGGCATCTGCATTGGTTGAGACTGCTGCCCGAGGTGAAGATACAGAACTTCTCAAGGATCTTTTCTACCAAGATGATCGACCTGTCGATGGCTCGAATGTCTTGCTGTCGGAAGCTCTACGAGAAATTGAGCCAGAGCGCAAAACTGAGAAACTTCATCTGGCAGCACGTTTACTATCCGACTCAAAGGATCCAACGGTGGTACTACAGCAGAAACTTGTCTCCGAGGCCTCGCAACTCTTAAAGGCTCAACAAGCTTTGGACAAAGACCTTGCAGACCGCGCTGAGTTCCTCGGTCTCAGTCTGAATGAGACGATATTTAGACTATTCCGAGCGGGCTACGGGAAACGAGCGCATAAGATGCAGTCCGAATTCAAGATGCCAGAAAAAACCTACTGGTGGGTACGATTAAGAGCGCTGGTCGCAAAGAGGGATTGGGGCGAACTGGAAGAAATCGCAAAGGCTAAGAAGTCCCCAATTGGGTGGGAGGTAAGATATCATTGGCATGCAAGTCGTGGCTATTTGACAATATACTAATATGAAAGCTGCAGCCCTTTTATAACGAGGTTCTTGGTGCAGGAAACACGAAGTTGGCATCCGCGTTTGTCCCGAAATGCACAACTCTAAAGCCTGCCGAGCGGATTGAAATGTGGGTGAAGTGTGGAATGATCATTAAGGCAGGAGAAGAGGCACAAAAGGCCAAGGACCTGGGTACCCTTGAAGCCCTTCGAACCAAAGCTTCTGGGCCGGCGTCCGCAGAGATCGAACGTATGATCAACCAACTCAAGCCAAGGAAGTAATGGGTAAGAGCGTCGACATTATTTGGGGCGGCATATCATGTTCAAGTGATTTCATCATCTTCGTCAACCGGGGCAGGGTCCGCATCCTCCAGCTCCGCTGGAGCTTCAAAGATATTTGCCCTAGGCTTTTGCTGCGGCTTGTCCTCGGCCATGGCATCGTCCTCGTCATCTTCGTCGTCTTCGTCGTCTTGTTGGAGAGCTGCAAATGCGGATGCAGTGCGGTTGGTATCCTCCCACTCAGACTAGAATATTCTGTCAGTCGCCGCGGATCGTTGATAGAATAGTGTGTCAATATTAGGAGAATCATACACTTCTTGTTTTGATGGCCTTCGCTTTAACAATGCTTTTGGATCTCTTGAGAAGCAACTGGTCAGAGACGGCCTCGGCTCTCTCCAGTCCCTTCTGCTGTCTCAAACGCTGTGCCCTTGTAATCTTGCTGTTGTTTTTCTTCTTTTTCGAAACGCCGATATTTGCACGATCGGCCAAGAGGGAAGGTCGCGAAGTAGTGGGGGAATCTGCTCGTGGTAAAGCGGCTATGGACTTGTCCTCGGGGGTGGCAGCGCGCCTCGCCGCGCGGGTGTTTTGACCAGCAGCTAGAGGAGTGTTAGAAATATTTTACAAAAAGAGGAGATAGGAAAGGTATGCGACTCACGTCTGCTTTTCGCCATGATGGGTTGTGTTTTGAAAAGATCAAGTCTCTCCCACTCAGTCAAAAATGTGTGTGGAGAACCACTATCGATAAAAAAAAAGTTTACGGAGGGCGCGATCGACCCAAAGCGCAGCCCCGGACCAAAATATACATTGAGCAACCCGGGAATACTCCGACAAAGCATTTAACTCAACTTCGTCTCTCCCCTCCACCTTCCGACAAAGTCTCCCTTTACCCTTTGTTGGGCCGGTCAACCAGATACTGCTAGTCCATGCCTGACACGCATCCGTACTACAGCAGCTCTCTCAACATACCCTTTCCGCCATGAATGCTCAAGGGAGAGCTGACATCTACTCGAACGGCCCCATCTATTACGCAAGCTCGAGCAGCCACGATGCGACATCTGCTACAGCCCTACAGAACCACCAGACACTAGCATACGCGCTTGTTGGCCTCGCATCTCTTTATCTACTTGCGGATCACTTTGGCTTCGCTCCGGTGTCCCTCATCCAGTTTCTTTGGAACGTTCTCGTCTACATAACGCCCTCGCGCATCCTTGTCGCATTAGATTCCCGAATGTCACCGTCCGATTCCGACCCCTCCAACCCCTCGCAAATGACCTTCCACGCTAAAAGTGAATCGATGCAACGGATTCTCGGCCTTGACAACACCTCCTTCCCTTCCTTTCCTCGTCCGCGGTCGCTTTCCGGCATCGGCAGCGTTTTCTTGGGCAACAGCAGAGATACGACTCCTTCGGGGCTGGGAAACTGGGACAACTCCTGTTATCAAAATAGCACCATCCAAGGGCTGGCCTCTTTGAAATCTCTCTCGGACTTTCTTAGGCAAAATGTCGATGAGCTGGCTGAGAAGAGCCCACTCTCAACACACCAAGCACTGCAGAGTATTATCGAACTTTTGAATAGTGCATCGAACTCCGGAAGCAAGTTATGGATCCCATCGGAGCTCAAATCAATGAGCAGTTGGCAACAGCAAGACGCCCAGGAATACTTTTCGAAATTGGTGGACCAAATCGACATCGAAATTCGACAGGCTTCAAAGGGACAAACAAGGAACATGGGTCTGAAGATGGCTGGGCCAGAGGAGAACATTCTTGGTGGCCATAGCTCTGAATCAACGACCTGTGATGACAGTTCTATCGCGGCTTCAACACCTGAATCGGCCTTATCTCGCAATCCCCTCGAAGGCCTACTTGCTCAACGAGTCGGCTGCACCAAGTGTGGTTGGACGGAGGGACTATCTCTCATCCCATTCAACTGCCTAACGGTACCTCTGGGGAGTAAATATGAATACGATGTGGACGAATGTCTGGATCACTACACCGCGTTGGAGGAAATTGAAGGCGTGGAGTGTGCCAAGTGTACGCTCCTGCGTGCTCAACAACAGTTGAATAACCTCTTGGGCGATTGTTCCGAAGTTGATAAGTTTGCGGACAAGTCCACCTCGCCTGGCTTGTCAGACGCCGTCAAAACCTCTGCAAAAATGAGACTTGAGGCTGTGAACGCCGCCCTGGACGAAGATGATTTCGCCGAGAAAACGCTCACAGAAAAATGCCATATTCCCTCAAAGAACCGGGTCACAGCGACGAAATCTCGGCAAGCGGTTATCGCTCGAGCACCAGAATCTCTCGTTGTGCATATCAATCGAAGTCTGTTTGACGAGACGACTTACATGCTCAAGAAGAATTACGCCGGTGTCAATTTCCCCAGGATAATGGATCTCAACCAGTGGTGTCTTGGCATTCGGCCAGCCGAAGAATCCGGGGATTCCCGTGAGAAATGGATTACCGATCCTTCTCAATCTATGCTCCCTCGCGCAGGTGAAGCAATCGACATACCGAGCAGACGATACGAGCTCAGAGCCATCATCACACATTATGGTCGACATGAAAATGGGCATTACATCTGCTACCGCAAGTACCCCACAGCAGTTTTTCCAGCACCTGTCCCAGACGAAGTTCTGCAGGCCGAAGGTGACAAGGAGAAACGGGAGCGCTGGTACCGGCTCAGTGACGACGATGTGCAAATGGTGAGCGAAGGCCATGTGATGTCGCAGGGTGGTGCTTTCATGCTTTTCTACGAAGCTATCAAGGACAACGTCCCTGAATTCTCTGAAGAGGCAGTTGATCCAAAAACTGTCCACTACGACCTGGCGGAGTCGCTCTCCAATTTCACTATGTCTGAAGACATGTCCACGAAATCCACAATCACGGATGCAGATTCTAGCACCTCGCGTGCGACTAGTGTTTCCGCCCCGGATCAGCAATTGTCTGCTGAGACTATCAAGCCTTCGACGCCACCTTCAGAAATAGCAGAGGTGGCGGATGTGAATGTCCAGAACACCCCTGATTCACTTCGCTCCCCATCTATTGTCAGCGCGAGCTGATCCTCTCCTCCTTCCAATATTCTGCTGCTTCTTTCGTCAACGACACCGCCGTCCAGTCGGCTTCTGCATCATCGTGATACCCGAGTATATATTTCATGTGGGGCGTTTACAGGGGATTATGTGTTTATTTGTATTTTTGGAAATGTAATTCTAGCGCAAAGCCTATCGCAATCATACATACCCGCAAGGAGGCTATTTGAAATCCCATCATCTTGAAACGCATGTGCCATAAGGGACTCTTGAATAAGCTTGTCTAAAGCAGTATTTAACTTCAAGTTGCTGTCCGGGGTCTCGACTTGAGAAACAGATCAGTCGGCAAATACTTCGCCTTATCCCGTTCTCCATTCAAAGTGGTGCCATTGCCATTATTACCCGCGTCCAAGCATTGTTTTCCATGCGTCTTCTCCCTCTCGTGCGTTCATACCACCCTCCATAATTTTGGAATGTTGACGCCACTCACTCAGAACAACGTCAATCTCCGTCTTGGTATCACCAACCAGCGCATCCATATTGATATCATTCCTGTCATAACCAAAGGGGTCCTCAAGCTGAGACCCAATTCCCTCTATACCATAAAGAGTGAAAATCACCAAACTCACAATGGGAATAGCCCACCAGCCCATCTCATCCACCATCGCAAAAGGAAGTACACACCCGAACAGGGCGAGGACTTGTTTCTGATGAATCCTGTATAGTCATGTCAGTACAACACGGGTCTCTCTTCCGCCGACAGTATTCGTCAGTGTTTCGAATCAATCGATCGTCAAGCTTACAAATGTGCCACAGGGATCGGAGTAAGTTTAATAGTCTCCATCCGCCCATACGCCTCAAGAAGCGTATTCAACTGCGCCTGCATCTGACTCGCACTAGGCGCACTAAACCAACCCCTATCCTCACCACGCTTAATAAACCCATCCACAAAAAAGGTCAATTGATACGGCAATCCCAGTCCCTCATCTTCATGTCCCTCCAGTCCAGCTGGAAGTAAACCCGCGTATTCAGGATTATAAGCCGCAGTGCCATGTTCGTCGACGTCGTTTCCGAGAAATCCACCACCAGCCCATGCGGCGCCCCATTCCGCGCGAAGATGATTCTTCGTAGCGAATGGGATGGCAACTAGGATGCGGATTGTGCGCTCTATATCTTCGCGCTCGGATGGGGTTGGTGGTCCGCGTTTGGTGTTGTAGCTGTTTGTTACTATTGTTCGGGATAGGTTGCGGACACAGGTGTTTAGTGTGCTCATGCCGTTGCGGCCGTCCCAGAATCGGTTGTAGGAGGTTTGATTGCGGAAGACTAGGATCAAACCCACGACGATGGAGAGGGATGGGATCTGGATTTATAGTTAGTTGATGGCTCGGAGTTATGATATCCTTCGATTAGGGGGGGGGGGGGGACTAACGATGCTAGCGGGTAATCCGACCGATTCAAAGACGTAGGTATCGAGATATACCACGAATGCTGTGAATAATGCATGTAAGAAAACGGGTAGAATTATCTCGACATGGATTGCGCCCTTGATAAAGCGGAAAACGAGCGGCCATCTGCACGGGTTGTTAGTTTGATAGGACTGGCGGGACTGAAAACGCAACTCAACTCAACTCACCTCCTCGGCTTCCTGCGAGAGGATAGCAAGTGCGGATGTGTGGTACGTCGCTTATGATGTCTCTCATATAGGGAGGTATTCTGACGACTCATGGTCGGGGTGGGCGGCTCGCTGAAGTTCAAGCGCGGGCCGCTCTGCCGAACCCGTTCGATGGACATCGAGATAACTCTTTGGTAGTGGTGGAGTTGACGCAGATATGCCTCAGTGTTCAAGAATCTCCTCAGCTCTCGACAAGGTGTTGGAACAGGGCTGGACACAGCCTCGTCGACTAAAGAGAATCTGGCGGTCAATCAATAGGGGTGGGTCGAGATTCCGCGATGTCAACAAAGCGTGGGCGGACAAAAGGTGGGGAAGCCCCAAGGATCGGCGTCAATGACATATGACTTTGACGTCTACCTACTAGCTCAGATTGGGGCTTCTTCTTGGATGCTGTGTTTAATTTCTGGATACCATGGCTATATTAGACGTTCAATTATACTATGCAAGCAAATTTTGGCTGCCAGTGGAGGCCCGCAAACAACTATAGTAACCAATCATTGGACAAGACAGTGTTCACTAGTTGTGAGAGGCGTGGCTAGTCTGCACGTCATGCAGGTTCGCTCTTATCCCGGATTCCAGAGTGAGTATGGCGGATGTTGGCAGCATCTTGAAGCTAGTAGTACTAGAAAGCACAAAGAAATTTACGGTGTTATTTTGGGCTGTATACAAAAAACCTCCATCAAATACAACTCAAAACTACCTAGAACACTGGCATTTTTCTTTCAAGGAATTTACTGGAATACTAGTTTATAGACAATAGTTTATATACAATATTTACCAGCGGTATTCTAACACGATATATCTGTCAATTTTAGATTTTAGATTTTCAAAATTATATAACATATAATGAACTGGGTCATCACGATTAACGTGGATGCCTTAGGCCTACTAACGTGTTTCATGGGTAATCCAACCACCCGTGCAAGCCAGCCATTCAAAACACCATACTAAAAGCGATAAATTACAATTCGATATCTCAACACTGGCAACCATATTAATTATCTAAATATTGAAGTTCTATAGCCTCTATTGTACCACTATCACAAAAATAAAACAAAATATAGTCTAGATAGATATATGTCACGAAATATCCTTTTGCTTGATAAAATACATAAATTTTTGAGTAATTAATGGTAATCTGATAAATGAACAATCAGATGAATTCGAATTCAAATATATTGCTTAATATCTCATTATAGAAATATCTGACAAAATATAGCCTGAAAAAATGTATGGTGTTCTTGCGTGGCCGGCTTACACGGGTGGCCGGATTACCCATAAAACACGTTATAGCACCCACCCACCTACTAGCTAGGCACCCACGCTTACACCTAGTATATCTAGCAAGTGCCGTCTTCAACTTGAATCACAACCTAACACTGCTGCTCAGTGACTCCAAGCAGCGAGAACAAAAGCTGCTCAAATTCCAGAAGCCATGGAGTGAACCACCAACCGAGCCACGAAAAGCAGCCAAACCCCGTGTTCTCGTGAGCACGACTGGACTACTTAGTACAGATTTAGATCTATCTGTCGCTCGACATATCATCCTCATGGAGCCTGCGTTTATCGACGCAACAGAGCAGCAGCAACTTGCACGGCTTATCCGTATGGGAAGATACCTGAACATATCGCGTTCACGATTCTTACAACTGATGGCCCAGGGATTGAGCACAATATCCAAGCGCGACGTTAGTCAGGAATTGGCATTCATAACCTGGAAGAAAGTCGTCATTCCTGGCTGTCCATTCGGAAAATGCCTTCGGTCACTCATAAACAAGACCAAGGCGTGACGCCTTGGTTATGATCACTGGGGTGGAGGCGCGGCAACTAGTCGCCGGCGTTTCGAGTTATGGCAGAAGCTTCCGGATGACAGATGGTGCCTGCTCCGGTTCCTTCTGCTCTTTTCAGGGGGATAAGCTCCACTCAATTGCTTCTCTCTGTCGGCGTCGAATTCATTCAACATCCTCCTTACGCACATCAATTGTCCGGTATCAACGAAGTCCAAAATCGTTGGTTAATCGAGCCCTTAGTCACGGTTATGACGGCAAAATCGACTGCCTAAGCACCTCTGGTCAGAGCTCATTCTCGGAGTCAACCAATGGCATACCACACTCCTTGCACGGAACTGCTCGCTATGTCAACGCCGAGATCGGTGACATATTTCGGGATCATGCGAACTATTCCATCTTTGAATCGTCCATCGAAGCTAATTAACACTGTGCATCATAGGTTGTTCAAAGGCTTCCACAACCCAATATAATACCAAAGACCTACCAGAGCACTCCCACGGGCCACATCACAACATCATAACACCAACACGATGTCGCAATACATATCCAGTTTATTTGTTATTTTTATTCTATCTTTATTGGTCTCTACAGGCCCCATTGTTGCGGCATTGATATCTCATCAGGGAATGGTATCTGACTCCCATTGTTATGTTATGAGACGCCGCCGGATCTAGATCACATGTTGTAGCTACTTTCATAGCTAGCTGCGTCTCAATGTGACAAATATCTTCGATTCTCTCATAATATCTCGCTGCGGTGTAGCACCCATTGTGTTTGAATGCCTGAGTAGGTATAGATAACACTTCTGACGCGTTTCATTCAGGCCGGGCTCATTCTCGTCAGTTTCCTGACGATGCTTGTTGGAATGACCGGGATTGTGAGACTGCCCCGAGGATATCGAGCTGCTTTTGTTCCAAATCGAGGACTTGCAGATTCACAGAATGGTGATTTGAAGAAAAGCAAGCGATGTAGTTAATAATGTAAAGATGTTTTGTTACAATACCATCTCGATTTTTGTTTCGTCGTCTGGAAAAGAACTATGCTCTCGAGATGTTCAGTTCTTACCAAGTGGGTCAAGGATATCGGACGAGTAGAGTAGACCCGTGTCTCAACACTGACGACGTGCATATTTTCCTAATGCACCGTTTAGGCATCTGAATTTATTCTCTAGGCAGAGAGCCTTTTACCGTGACTAGTCAGTCTCCTTGGTCTTCTCAGATAATCCCAACCTATCGGAGCAACACGATGCTTGAAACAATCACCCTAAGAGCATCTTGGTTTGATCAAAGTTGGAGATAAACTAGATGATCCATCGGAACACTACGTACTCACTTTATTTAAACCAAACTCTTATTTTCAAATTACCGGGGCAAACAGGGATCCTGACGGTGTCGGGTTGCCGACTCTGCAGTGCGGGAACCCTAAATGGCTCTAAATCTCGGATTTTCCGAGCAGCACCTCTTTGCAGGACCCTCTTTACTCCCGGGACCTCCGCCATCCGCGTAATGGCCCCCTGAATCCACGTAATGGTCCCCATAGTTCGACGATAGGGCTCCCCGATCCACGACAAGGGACTGACTAGTTGCTGATTTCTACTTGTTTCATGTCCTGATCGACAGTCCTGATGTCGGCTCTCTCGGAGCCTGATGCAGTACGCGTCTCGGGGGTTTTACGTGATTTTTCATCGGTGCAAATACCGGTTTGAATTAATACGCATAAGGCTGGATCCCTCAATCTGTATAAGCTTAAAATGGGGCTATAAATCTTATGATCTGCTCCTTCATTTTCGTCTGGAACTTTCATTTCTGGACCCGTACATCTCAAACTTGAGCTATGAAGCTCCACTCTTCAGCCCTTTTCGCGGCCCTCTTGGGTTCTGCCTCTGCATTGTCTAGCAATGCAAATAAGGGTCTTCTCTCTAATGGCGAGGGTAAGCTACCAGAGGTCTATTGGAATTATCTTGACTAACTTGATACCTTCAAAGTTACTCTGAGTGACGAATGGCAAGCCGCCTACGAGAAAGCTGCCAAATTCGTCTCTAAACTGAACACCACCGAGAAAATCAACCTCATCACCGGAAGCAGCGTTAATACCACAGATGGAAGCCAGTCCTTTACCGCACTCGAATTCTTGGATGGTTCCATGGGTCTCCAGGACTATTACTATGTATCGGCCTTCAGTCAGGCATCTGCATTGGCTATGACCTGGGATAAGGATGCCATGTATGCCCAGTCAAAGGCCATTGCTACTGAGTTCTATCTCAAGGGAATTCAAGTTCTTGATGGACCGACTTCGCAACCACTTGGTCGCACTCCATGGGGTGGTCGACTTGTCGAAACCTTTGGACCGGACCCCTACTTGAATGGTATTGCAACGGGGTTGGGTGCAAAGGCATACAAGGATACTGGTGTCATTGGTGGAATCAAGGTATGCAATCTGGTTGCATATACACAGGTGGTTTTGCTAACACTTCGTTTCTTAGCACTTCATTTTGAACGAGCAGGAGACCAACCGTACTGGAAGTATGGGAGGAGGAGGTGGTGGTGGTGGCGGCGGTGCCCCTCCTGGCATGGGATCCTCCTCGAGCTCTGCAGCAGCTCAGCCCTCATCTTCTGTCGGTGCATCGAGCATGGGAGGGATGCCATCTTCCTCCTCTTCATCGTCTTCCTCATCTTCCGGGGCCCCTTACTCTTCCAACGTCGATTCGAAGACTCTTCATGAAACTTATCTCTGGTCTTTCTACGATGCCGTACACTCCGGCGCTGGCGGTGTCATGTGTGCTATGACAAAGGTTAACAACACACTTTCGTGCGAATCATCTTCGCTCTTGATGGATCTTCTTAAGACCGAGCTTGGTTTCCCAGGCTTCGTCTTCCCCGACACCAATGGCCAGCAGCACGCTCTGTTATCGGCAAACAACGGTTTGGACTATGGTTCTTCCAGTCTTTGGAGTACGTCGACAATTGAGGGTTATCTCAAGAAGCACAACATGACTGAAGCCCGTTTGAATGATATGGCGGTTCGCAATCTCATTGGATACTACTATGTCAATCTGGATAACGGTACCCAGCCTGCGACCGCCGAGGAGGATGCCTACGTTGACGTTCGAGGTAACCATGCTAAGCTCATCCGTTCCAATGGCGCCAAGTCTCTGGCTCTCCTTAAAAATGAGAACAACGCTCTGCCTCTCAAGAAGCCTCACACAATGGCCATCTTTGGTTCCAATGCCCGCGCTGTCGTCGCTGGTCCCAACCAGGAATTCAGCGTCCAGGGATCTGGTCCTACTTATGATGGCCACCTTGCTACCGATTCCGGATCTGGACAGGGATCTCTACCCTATCTTATCACTCCCGAGATCGCCTTGACGATCAAGGCGAGTCAAGACGGAACTATCCTCCGTTGGGTTGCGAATGATACCTACTCTGCTTCCAGTGGCTCTAGTCTTGTTGTGAAGGGATCTGATACTACTTCTGTCTCACCATCTATTAGCAACTATGCCGAGAACATGGATGTCTGCCTTGTCTTTATCAACGCACTTGCAGGTGAAGGTGCTGACCGAACTGAATTGTACAACGATGACCAGGACGCTTTGGTCAACGAAGTTGCCGACAACTGCGCGAATACCGTGGTGGTTATCAACACCGTCGGTGCCCGTCTTGTCGACCAATGGATTGAGCATGACAATGTGACTGCCCTTTTGTATGGCAGTTTGTTAGGCCAGGAATCCGGCCATTCGATCATTGACGTTCTCTACGGCGACGTCAACCCCAGCGGAAGATTGATCTACACGATTGCCAAGAATGAGTCTGATTATAATGTCGGAATTTGTGAGACGCACAACTGCAACTTTGCCGAGGGCAACTTCATCGACTACCGCTACTTTGATGCGTACAATGTCACTCCGCGCTACGAGTTTGGTTACGGTCTTTCTTACACCAACTTCACCTACACCGATCTCAAGATTGATTCGCCCAAGTCACTTCAAGTTTCTAAATATCCTACCGGCAAGCTCTCCGTCGGTGGCTACGAGGATTTGTGGAATGTGGTTTCTAAGATTAGCGCCACCGTCCACAACACTGGATCCGTTGATGGTGCCGATGTGCCTCAGCTGTACATCAGTTACCCCAAGGCTGCCCAGCAGCCTCTGCGCCAGTTGCGTGGGTTTGAAAATGTGGACATCAAATTCGGACAGAAGGCCGATGTAGAGTTTGAACTTCGTCGTCGCGATATTTCTTACTGGGATGTGAAGGCACAGCAGTGGGCTGTCGCTCCTGGCACTTACAAGGTTTACATCGGTGCCAGTTCGAGGGATCTGAAACTCCACGATACCTTCTCTGTGCAGGTCAAGAACGACTCTTAGAGATGTGTGGAATATAGTCTATAAGCCATAATTTATCGAATAGATAATAGATCTGTTTTACTTTTATTGCGTCCCTGGAATGTCTTATGCACAGAAAGAGTACTCTTTCTTCTTATTGATACAAGGCGTGAACGAGAATGTCTGTTCACATAGCCACATCTAATGAGGCTAATATTTCCTGCTAACCCCTCTGGAATCTGCCCGGGGCCAAGGCCAACCCCTCACGAATTAAAAGTCTGTCATATCCGGCCCGGGGACCGGAAAAGCATACTAGTAGTAACCTAGCATAACCTAACATACTAATAACTGGGGTAAGTCACGCCCGCTAGCCCCCATCCAATCCGCGATAGGCTTATCACTTGGCATCGCCATCTCCTCCCCTTCAGGGGTTGGGGTAGTTGTGCCGCTGATAACGCACGCCTCTAGTCTCTCCTTTATCTGTACTTGGCAGTTTGTCAAAGCTTCTTCAACCTGCAAACATGGTGTTATACACTTTACAAGCCAACCAGAGCGTCGTGCAGTATACCTTGAGCGATAACCCCTCAAAGGCACACGAGATGCCTATCAACATGGCAAAGCACACGACTCCGCACTCGCACGATGGTCCGAGTCCTACTATTTCGCTCAAATAGAACGTCGGTGCGCGTTCAGCTATAAAGAGTCCATGTTCCCCGCTCTCTGATCTGGATCCATTCCCCTCATACCTCTTCGGTATACGAGTACGATCAACATGGAGAAGAAGGCTTCGGTAGAGGACATCCCCCTTTCCAAAGAAGATGCCAACGCCGGCACCGTTCTCCCTTACCGGGAGACCCAGCGCGGTCTCGCCTCACGCCATGTGCAATTGATGGCTATTGGGGGTTCAATTGGCACAGGACTCTTCGTCGGAATTGGCTCCTACCTACGCGATGCAGGCCCGCTATCATTATTCCTGGGGTATCTGATCTGGGGCTGTTTATTCATTTTACCCGTGAATTTGAGTGTCGGAGAAATGTGTGCCTATCTACCCATTCGAGGATCGATCTTTGAACTCGCTGCACGATTCATTGACCCTGCTTTTGGCTTCGCCATGTAAGTCAAGTCTCCACCCTGTCGGGCTTCCCCGCATTCCAATAAGTGATCCACATTCTCATTGTTGATCTCTGCCTACTATAGGGGATGGGTCTACTTCTACGGTGGCGTTATGCTAGTCTGTACCGAATATGCCGCCGTCGCTACCGTAATGCAATACTGGAATACCAGCGTCAATCCCGCCGTCTGGGTAGCCATGGCCCTAGTCGTCTGCACATGTCTCAATCTCGTCGCAGTGAAATACTACGGCGAAGCCGAATTCATAATGGCGTCGACAAAGATATTACTCCTCATTGGACTGGTCATGCTCACGTTCATCACAATGGTAGGCGGAAACCCCAAACATGATGTCTACGGCTTCCGCAACTGGACCTACGGAGTAATGTACGAATACTACACCGACGGCGTAACGGGTCGATTCCTCGGCTTCTTCTCCGTAATGGTTTACGCAGCCTTCTCCGTCGCAGGTCCAGATCTCCCAGCCCTCGCCGCAGGTGAAATTCAGAACCCGCGCCATACAATCCCACGCGTCGTTAAGGCGACTTTCTGGCGTATCGTCGGTTTCTACGTCATTGGCGTCCTGGCCGTCGGGATCATCTGCAGTCCACGAGATCCTCGCCTTATATCCGCCATTGACGACGCTGCGGCCGGATCTGCCGCTTCACCTTGGGTAATTGGGATCCAGAACCTTGATATCCAGGGTCTTCCCGATCTGATCAATCTCCTGATCCTATTATCTGGCTGGTCGTGCGGTAATGCGTACCTTTACAGTTCGAGTCGAACGCTATATTCTCTCGCTCGCGATGGCCAAGCGCCCAAGTTCCTGCTCAAATGTACTAAGTCGGGTATTCCCATTAACTGCGTGTTTACTGTCACGCTGCTCTCGTGTATTACCTTCCTCGTCGCGGATACTTCGTCCGTAACGGTGTTTTTCTGGTTCGTCGACCTTACAACCATCGCCTTCGTCTTAACCTACACGGGCATGCTTTGCGTCTTCATCGCCTGGTACCGGGCCCTAAAGGCGCAGGGAATCGACCGCAAGGCGTTCGTCCCTTGGGTGGCTCCATGCCAGCCATACATGGCCGTTGTCGCTATTGTCATCGGCTGCCTGACTGCGTTATTCAATGGGTTCTCGGTATTCAAGCCGTTCACGATTGAAGGGTTCGTCACTGCGTATTTCGGGATGGCGTTTTGGGCAGTGATGTTTGTATTTTGGAAGGTGTTTCATAGGACGAAGTTTGTTAGTCCGGTTGATGCGGACTTGGTTTCGGGAAGGCGGAGATCGATGAGGAGTGTAAGATTTGGGAGGATGGGGAGTGGGAGGAAAGGCGGAAGGTTGAATTAGCTCAGATGAATTGGGCGAGGCGGATGTGGGAGAAGATGTGGTGATTGAGTCTTCATTCATAACAGAGTTTTACTGATTGGAATTGGCCAGTAGTTGGCGCGGTTCAGCACTAGTATTGAGGGCGCTCTCTTCGTACGTGCGACCGCAAATACTACATGCACATAGTCGTCTTAATTCCAAAGCTATTCTATTCCATCTCTATTCCGACTTCACAATATTCCATGTCAAACCCCCCTCCAGACACCCGGCACTGCCGAATAAATGATGGGGAGACGTAACCAAAAACCTTTCAGACCTCCTCCACACCCACCAGGCCCAGCCGACCGAAGTCAGACACCGAAACCAGGTCAAGATCATCACCACTCCCTGGACATTAACGCAGAACCAGAAGGAACGCGTAGCAGTCGAGGCGGGAGTAAAAAGGTTTCACTTTAGGGCATCGAGGACATGTAGTCATCAGCAAGGGTGGAGATTCTGTGGCTCTTATAAAGAGCTTAGAAGAGGACGTCTACTCTAAAGTGATTCTTTGAACTGGGAGGTTGTTAGTAAAAGGCGTTCCTGTAAGAAAAGTGTTCTGTTGTGAACACTATGGGGGTGGGATCACTAACGTAGAGTCGCTTGAAAAAGAGAAGAAGGTTCGGAGGGCGACGGCATTTTATACTTGGGTGTGCTGGGCGGTGAGGATGGGTGGTGGGTCTGGGTTTGCCCGTAGCTTAAGCGAGACGATCACTGCCTGTTTTGTCTGGCCCGGTTTGGCCTAGTCAACATCCATGGATTTTTTCTCATGTACTGGTAGCTGCCAATTCGCTATTTTGCTATTCTAAGTCTACTTTCATGTTGATGAGGATAGTAATAAGTTTATGTGGATTGCCGGGCCGGAGAAACGACTTCTTTGGTGTAGAACTCCAGACCCAAGGGTGCTAGTATGAACAGTGAAAGGACATAGACCAAGGCCAGCCCGAAAAGAAGGTTCCTAGTTCGCCTTCATATCACCAATAATCACCAACAACAGCCCAGGCTGCTCAAATGGGTATATCGAACGATGGAAAGGGTGGGATGCAGGAAAAAAACGACGAAACGCCAAGGTTCCATACACAATGGAATTTAACAAGAACAAGAATGTGAGCGCTATTCAACAAAAAAAGAGAAATGCAACTGATCGGCGTTGATAAACCCGATCAATAGAGGTCCGTAACTAGTGTGTATGCGCACTTAATCGCGGAACACGGAAAGTGGTATGCAAGAAATTGGGTGCTGGTTGATGAGACCCTCAGGTCCTAGGGTATGCGCGATCATGACCAAGGTCTGTTACGATAGGGACTCGGGCATGATTCGATGCATGAGCTGAAAAATGCACGGATGCAAGGTTGATAGAAATAACTCATCGAGTCTTGTCAAGCATTTCGGGTGCCGTTATTGCATAGTGGCACGACCATCAAATGCCAGAGGGCCGGAGTCATTTCGTGGGGTCAGCGGGTTGTCATCTGATGTTTCCGATCGAACTGGGGTATCGGCGCGGAGATGTGACGATCGGCCGGGCGGAACATTAAGGGGCTGTGTTGGCTGAAAGCCAGGGATATTGATTGTCGCGCTACGGGCCAGGTCGTTACTGCTACTATCTGGAGCAGGCGAGTTCGAACTTCGACTTTCGGTATCTGCGCTCAGCAGCTGGCCCTCCTGCAGGTGTAGATTTTCAACATCGGTGACTAGTTCAATTTCCTCGGGGCGGCTCGTTTCTTGCGCGGGCGGCTGTTGCCCATCGTTGTTTGGAACTGGTACATCTGCTGGGGTCCGGGTTTCGGAACGGGCTGCCTCTTGTACGTTGGCAGACGCAGATGCGGCCCTTTTTGCTTCGACGTCTTGATCATTCGAGTCGTCGACCTCGGCACTCAGGTCTGTGAAAGCCCGACAGTTGGGGCATTGGAACATGGGATAATCGGGAGAGTGAAGAAGGCGACTAATGCATTTGTAATGCCATACGTGAGCACAAGCTGCCATGAACAAACACTGGTATGGCCGTAAAACGGAGCCAAGGCAGATAGAGCATTCACGACAGCCAGCGTAGTCCACATTATCTCCTTTACCGAGGTTTTGGATGAGGTTTTCGGTGTTTTTGCTATCATCATGTTAGCTGGAGAACCGATAGAATGAAAAAAAAAGCCGATAGGCAGCTGATGGGGTGGTTCCTACTTGAACTCGTTTGGCTGTTGCTGCCAAGATCTATTGCATTCGATGCGAATCCGCACACAGCGAAAGATCATTTCTTCTCCTCCCCGGAAATCGATACCGAGCTGCACAATATCGCCGTCTTTGATGGAATACAAACGAGAGACCATATTTGGCTGACTGAGACGCATATGGTTCAAAAATGTGCCTGAGGAACTTCCAACATCTTTGACGTGCCACTGTCCATTGATGAACATGAACTCGCAGTGTTTTCGGCTGACGACCTTTGACTTGAAGCCGACGGGGGCGTCCGAAGGCTCGGCAGGGTTGGGAATGGGAATACCATCACGCTCTGAATACCGACCGACTCGAACGACGCAGCTTTCTGAGGGAAGAGTGCGAGTGACTGGGACGAACGGTAGGGAAGGTCGGGAGCTCTGGTAGGAGTCTTGGTAGGGAAAAAATCGAATGGTGGCTTTTTGCTTCGGCTGGTTCGAGTCTCCCTCTTGTGCATCATTAGGGGGTGTATCTATCGGCTCTGGAGTCTCGTTTGTCGCGGCGAAGGGCTCTGGCGACGAGGTGGGAGCGTCTGAGGTGGTGGTTTGGCCCAGGTTTCGGGGAGGGCGACCTTGAACAGCGGAGGCACTTCTCAGCCGCGCCATGACATTGGATGTTCGAGACGACTGGTGCGACTCGTTCGGAGGGGTCGAGTGCGAAGAGTCGGTTGATGAGGCCTGGTCAATACTGAGGCCGTAGGAGCTCGAAGGGGGCGCTGAAGTGTAGCGAGAGAGGGCGGGTTGGTCAGATTCGGGGCATGGAGCAGTGGAGTTCCCCACCTGCGTCACTGTGGAATCGGTGCCAGGCGATGGGGACAACCAAGGTACTCGACTGCTGATGCTATTACGGGAGCGATGACCAGACGATATATTTTGGGTGTAGGCACGCAGCTGGCTGAAGCGACGAAGGCGGCTGGAACGAGGAGAAGAAGAATCGGGGAAGGAGGTGGAGGCGGTGGCGGTCTCCATTGTTGAGGCCGACATGGGGGGGGAGAGACCACAGCAGTACTTTCTCACTTTTATCTCACTCCCTCTCTCTGTGTAGATCGGACCACGCGACTCGGGTCGGGCGTCCAGGCGCTCAATGCAATTGCGAATGAGGGGAGCGGGGAGAGACTCTTTGATGCGATTCCAGATTCGGTCAATGCGATCAATGCGACAGGGGAAGAGGATTCTAGTGATGCATCTTGGGGAGGGTGATCCGAGGTGAGGTGACAAAGAAAGGTACAAAAGTAAAAGGTATAAAAAAAGCAATTTCGGAGAGAGTAGTAGCAAAGCCAAGGGGCGAAGGTAAAGGAAGAATCAAGAAGAGAGAAAGAGAAAGGGAATGGGAGAGGGGGCTTGGTATGATGTTACCGTTGGCGACTTTGCGGGACGAGCCAAACCCAGTTGAACCAGGAGACCCAAAGGCTGGACCAAGGGAATTCAGATAGACTAGCCGAATTTCGGGTAGTTTAGTTTCTTGAATATACCTTTGCGGCAACAGGGTCAGTGACAACTTAGTTACTAAGTACCTCTGCTCTGGCTCCGTGTACTGACAGTATGATTACTACTCCAAGTGGCCCGATTTTTGCGGGGAAGCAGCCCTATTCGGGACTTTTTTTTTTCTTAGTCGTCTTCTTTAGCCGACGCCCCTTGGCCCTCTACAATGGCTTGCCACCGTCCCGTGTGTGAGTCCCTTTAAATACGAAGACTTGTTTCAATCATGGATGCCTCGGCGCCTCCCCGAATATCTACCATGGCCTACCACGGTATACCGGAGGGCGGAATGCCGATCGCGATGTCACTCTGCAGAAGTAGAGGCCATAAGTGGGTTGGTTCACTTGGTAGAAAGTGTCTCTGCTAGCTCATCTCGTCTTGCCTCTTGCCTCTTGCCCTGAGCTGAACTGATCACCGGACGGATGATCAGCTGCGATATTTCGCATCACAAGGGCGCATTGGATCAGTAGGACCTGCACGGACCTCGAAACGGTTTGCAAGGGACACAAGATTCTTCCTTGTTCTCTTTCCAAGGGGAGAGAGGGCCCTGTTATGTAGACCCTGACCTCGAGGGACTGTGGAGTATGAGATCTTCCCAGGATACCACATAGATCATAGACCCAGAGCCACAGATGATCCAGGGCTGTCACCAGGAAAGAAGGCAAGAGAAGATCAAGCTGGATGAAAAATGAGCAGAGTATGCACAAACTAGTCGAATGGATCAGTATCCTCATGGTCACAAGTGACAACCGTGATCATGGTCACCATAGACGCAGACACCCAGTTTGAAGATGGGGGGGAAAATGGAAGAGGCAACCCGCCGGATCGGATTGGCCGTTCGGGATGATGTTATGCGCGGGACGGGGAGCTCTCCTGCGTTATCTCATCCTTAGTCCTTAGCCCATAGGCTATAGGCTATAGCTAATTAATTACTATAGAAGTTGGAACAGGAATTACATTCAGAGTCATTTTCATATGAAAATAAATATTCATCTTCACATTCATATGCTTTCTACAATCTAGAGTTAATTCTACTACTGGGCCACTCTGTAGGTGACTGACGTGCCCGCCCCGACCTGGAGAGACTTGAGGGGGGGAAACTAGTGAGCTCCTGCAACCTCTTCCTCGCTCTCTCTCTCTCCTACCCCCCTCTCTCTTCTCTCCCCGTCCCTATCTCTCTCCTCCACCCTTATTTTTTTTTCTCTCCTCATTTGGATCACCCACCTACTTACCGAATTCTTCGTCTCTACCCTTCCCGCCATCACGCGCCCGCTTTCTGTGTTCCCTCCACAAAGCTTGACACCGGTGCATGCAGTAGCCCCAGCCACCCTCCCTCGACCCCGTCCCGCCTCCCCGCGGAGATTTCGAGATCATCTTGTCTCCGACGATTCTTTTCCCCTGAACCATCGCCTGTTTGTTGCTAGTGCCCTGATGCGGGCCTGTTGAGGAGGCATGAGTGGAATCGTAACCACTTGTCTGTCGTGCCTGTCGGCCGTCGACCGATGGTGTCATATCACCGCCTGCCTGGGTGGAGGTCGATCGCGAGATGGCATCTATGAAACAACTCTCGCCGATAACGAACGTGAAGCCGTCTCCGATCTGCTGGGCTATCTAGAGAACGTACGTCGCATCGCTTTTGTCTCCTTCCGTCGTCGTCCGATAGGAGCGTCGTCATATCTGCCAAACCCGCCATTACTGACCTATACCTGTATATTCACAGCGCAACGAAACCGATTTCTTCACCGGAGAGCCTCTGCGAGCGCTGAGTACTTTGGTATACTCCGATAATGTCGATTTACAACGCAGTGCGAGCTTGACCTTCGCGGAGATCACGGAGCGAGGTGCGTGCGGCGGTCGAGATGGTGACCCGATGGAAGCAACTAACACCCTTCCCTTTCTGCAGATGTCCGTGAAGTCGACCGAGACACCCTAGAACCCATTTTATTCCTGCTCCAAAGCTCCGATATCGAGGTCCAACGAGCGGCCAGCGCGGCGCTGGGCAATCTTGCCGTCAATGGTATGCCTCCCAATCCTCTCAGCTCTCCTATCTTTGCTCTCTGTCGCTAACTTGCTACAGCTGATAACAAGGTCCTGATTGTCTCCTTGGGAGGGCTGGCCCCTCTTATCCGCCAAATGATGTCGCCCAATGTGGAGGTACAGTGCAACGCGGTGGGATGTATCACGAATTTGGCTACACACGAAGAAAACAAGGCCAAGATCGCTCGCTCAGGCGCGCTGGGTCCTCTTATCCGCTTAGCCAAGTCGAAGGATATGCGCGTTCAGCGCAATGCCACGGGCGCTTTGCTGAACATGACACATTCCGGTAAGTAGCTTTGGCGATGACGGTTGGAACGGAGCTTTAGGGGCTAATCAAGCTGTTAGATGATAACCGGCAGCAACTCGTCAACGCTGGTGCTATTCCCGTCCTCGTTCATCTTCTCTCCTCTCCCGATGTCGACGTCCAATACTACTGTACGACCGCCCTTAGCAATATCGCCGTTGACTCAACAAATCGCAAGCGCCTAGCCCAAACCGAGTCTCGCTTAGTTCAATCTCTGGTCCATCTGATGGACTCATCCACGCCGAAGGTCCAGTGCCAAGCAGCACTGGCGCTGCGCAACCTTGCGTCCGACGAAAAATACCAACTAGAAATTGTTCGCGCCAAGGGCTTGTCACCACTTCTGCGCCTTCTCCAGTCCTCCTACCTTCCGTTGATATTATCCGCCGTGGCTTGTATTCGTAACATCTCTATTCACCCTCTCAACGAGTCCCCCATCATTGAGGCAGGCTTCCTGAAGCCTTTGGTGGACCTACTTGGTTCTACCGACAACGAAGAAATCCAATGCCACGCCATCTCCACGCTGCGCAATCTTGCCGCCAGCTCTGATCGCAACAAAGAACTTGTCCTGCAGGCCGGCGCAGTTCAGAAATGCAAGGACCTGGTTCTCCGGGTTCCGCTGACCGTCCAGTCTGAAATGACTGCTGCGATCGCCGTCCTCGCACTGAGTGATGAGCTGAAGCCTCATCTCCTCAGCCTCGGGGTGTTCGATGTCTTGATACCTCTCACCAACTCGGAAAGTATTGAGGTTCAAGGAAACAGTGCAGCGGCCTTGGGCAATCTCTCCTCGAAAGGTATGATCGATTCTCACCCTCGCCCCCCATCCTTTCATATATTTTCTTTGTTCATTTTCATTCGAACATCGAGCTAACAAGTGCAGTTGGTGACTACTCGATCTTCGTACGCGACTGGGCCGATCCAAACGGAGGTATCCATGGCTACCTCCAACGCTTCCTCGCGAGCGGAGACCCAACTTTCCAGCACATTGCCATCTGGACACTCCTGCAACTACTCGAATCCGAAGACAAAAAGCTTATTGGTTATATCTCCAAATCCGACGACATTGTACAAATGGTGAAATCGATCTCGGACAAAGACATTGGAGCTGGCTCAGATGAGGACGAGGGTGACGACGGTGGTGAGGGTGAGGTTATTGCACTCTCACGGCGATGCCTGGAGTTACTGGGGGGCTGGTCCTAAGCAGACCCTAGTGGAGGCTTAGGGCCCTTTGACGATTGCAAGCACGACTCGGACTATTTATCTTTCGGTCCTTTTCCTTTTTTGGCCGGCCATTCTTTCTCTTTCTCTCTCTCTCTCGCACTTCTTTTCTTCTCTTACCCTTTGGGTGTTAGTATGGGCATTCAATTTACTTCGGTTACTGCGAGCGGGCATTTGGAGTGGCAAGGGCCTCGTTTTTTGTGTTTCCTCCTGTTTCGCCCAGGTCCAAGGATAGGTCTGGTGCCACTGTCTTGTTTCTACGCATACACCGTGTATTCATGCTAGATATGGGCTTTCCATAATTAATCCATCCCAGGTGTGGTATTTCGTACAATTCAGATATTCTAGTAAAACCGAGCTTCTAGACGCATTCCATTGGTGTTCTTGGAGAATGCCAGCTCTCTAGCGCAGCTCCGTGCCCGGTGAGGAGCCGCAGCTGCAAACCAAATAGTGGGCAAACTATCGGGTAAGAATATCAAACAAGTATCAGTGGGTTAATAAGCCTCCGAATGGTCTAATGGTATTGGCCTTGATCATTCGGGGGGAAAGAGCGAGGAGGCTTTGAAGAGACGCAATGGGACTGGTGCGTGCCTACCTTGTCTTTTTGGATTTTTTCCAGGTTGCAGCGTCATAACCAGGCCAGGGCATTTATTTGGTTTGTTTCTTTTCCCTCCTTCTCTTTTTTGCGTTTGTTGTTGTCCTGCTACCTAGTCCATCGTGCCTTCCTAATATATCCGTTTGCTGTTTCTATACTGCGGTACTGGAGAATCTTTCTTCCGGAGGGAGCTTCCCTCTTCCCCGAAAAAAAATCCATGGAAGAAACCTCCACCTCTCCACCATCTTGAATAGACCTGCCCTAAAGGGCCAATAACGAATACAATGGCAACTTCACTTCCGTCATTGGCCATCCCCGGTCAACGCCTGGGCTCTGCCAACACATATGCCGCCGGCCCCGGCACCCACATCCAACAAACGAATATCTTCGCTTCCATCGCTGGCCCTGTCATCCTGGATCCCGCCCAGCCCAACACACAATCAAAAGCCACTCTTCGAGTTACACGGATACTCTCTACTGCAGCTCAATCCTCCCCAGCTGCCGCGTTCGCAAAATCAAAGCCCAGATACAACACCCTCCCCGCGGTCGATTCAATCGTTCTTGCACGGGTCACCCGTGTGCAAAAGCGTCAAGCCGCCGTCTCCATCCTCGTCGTCCTAGACGAGACATCCGCCCCCAATGCCGACCTCACCAAGGCAGCTTCAGATAACGACAACATCGCCTCTATCCTTACCTCGGCCGCGAATCCCGAAAACCACAGCAGCACTGACGAGCTGCGTTTCCAAGCCATAATCCGCAAAGAGGACGTGCGAGCCGTCGAGAAGGACCGCGTCGTCATGGAAGAAATGTTCCGCGTCGGAGATATTGTCCGTGGCTGTGTTCTCTCACTCGGTGATCAAACTTCCTACTACCTCACTACCGCACGCAACGACCTCGGCGTCGTCATGGCTCGCAGCGAGGCTGGCAACATGATGTTCCCCGTTAGCTGGAAGGAGATGAGGGATCCTGTCACTGGAGCCGGGGAGCAGAGAAAGGTTGCTCGCCCTTACTGAGGAACGGTTATCCTATCTTACCTTACCGCCTATCGCTTTCACGGCGTTTGGCCAGCACGCTCATCCTTCCGACGCGCTCGAGCAAGAGGAGGCCTTTGGCTCTTCCGAATTACATGCAGACTCTAGCTGAGAGCCGAGCTGCCACAGCCGTGATACCAACTCCCGATATCCTACCCGCTATCTGGGTACCGTCATACACCCGGGTTCCCACCGAGCCTTGGGCTCAGAATTTGAACGCACACCCGCACCTGCACCCGGGTGATATGTTTTAGGCTCCCGTCCGTGCTACGCCACCCACGGAAAGCATCCCATGCGGAGTCCTTCGCGATTGCCGCTTATCCCGGAATGATACGACTCGCGGCTGAGGAATATCGCGAATCTATTACCAGCGGGGATTGAAACATCCCTGCAACTTCATGATACCCATAAAACGAGAAATGAAAATATTTTCGTCTTTCTTCTTCTAACGCAGCATGCAAATTATTCTTCATAGCTCTTCTATTTCTTTTTCGTTTCTCTCTTTCTCGGTTTTCAATCCAGGATAGGATCCCTTGGCCTTTTTCCCCCTTGACAGTGCTTTTCTTTTACACCAACCACACCTCCTAAGTATACATGGTCGAGACACTCAATGTCGGGCTGTGTTTGTCATGCGAGGAAGATTGAAGTTTTCGGCGCGGGACTCTCATCCTTGCGTACCCTCTCCTACTGTTCCCTGTCTGACTTTTGGCTGGAGAGTAATTGATAAGGGGGTTACATTCTTGTAATTCTGCTAATGAGTTGTTATAACTATATCTGCCCTGGCGACGTAGTATATATCTGTTCTTGACTGTTATTTAGTTGAGTTGAGTCGACATGTAAATCAGATAGCCTTTCTTTCTGAATATATCACATTTACTAATATCCTACTACCATTCAACCTTCTAGTAACTTGCCTTTCTTTAAAACCATACCTTGCTTGGTGCTTTCCAAGCTATCTCTTTCAAGGATATCTGAGATCCTGGCCTAGTGATCCCACGCCAAATCAGAGGGGTTTCAACATACAGTCGTCAACTTGAATTTGTCAAATTCAGTATGTTGGAAGAAGTCGGTGATTCCGCGGTATTTTTTAAGATATACTAGTATGTCTTGCTAAATGCCGCATTGACCAACATATAGTTGCTTAAATACCAGTAGTCTACCGAAGCTTTGAGCAATGAAGAATCTTACTGACTATAGCGTAAGATACTACAAATTTGCATTTTAATAGAGATCATATTGCAGTAGTAAAAATCAAAGCATTAAGGTATCAATAGATAGGAAACTTCACCCCGGAACACTCCGCTTGACAATAACTCCGCTCACGCTTTATGAACATCAATAAAATACAGCTCAATGCTGCATTGATGGCAAGTATCGGCTTGGGCGTCCTTTTCAAAGAACAGCCCACAGCTTAGGCATACTTTGGCGTGGTGGTATCCGCCAATCCTCGAGATCACATCTCTAGTGAACTCGACCGTGTCAAGCTTTTGGTATCCCTCGCTCTTCGTAAGCTCCTCAGTACGAGCACAAGCTGCGTGGACCATCAGGTCCCGGAGTCCACGGTCTGTCTGGGGGCTGCTTTGATAGACGAATGGGATAACACGGAGGAATTCGTCTGCGTCCCAGTTCTCCTTCAGAATGGATCTGAAGTGCTCGAGGGAGTCCTTTTTGAGTTGGTGGACCAGGTACTTATCGGCAACTTCGTAGACGGAGGCGAGAAACTCGAGGGGACTGTCAAGTGCGTCTTTGGTAGGAAAGTACTCTCTTCTGTAGAGAAACTTGATCATAGCCATCATGGCCTTGGGGTCGTCTTCCTTCAGGTAGATGATTTTGTCTCCACTTTCCTGTGAGACATGTTAGCGGGCTTATAATCTCCAGGGTTGCAGAGACTGTTTTCTTTGATCAATATAGGGACCGACTGGATTCTTGGAGGAATTAATGACTTACTACTCCCCCACCCCCGCAGTCAAGGAATCAGGATCATTTTCATCGCTAAAAGGGCCAATAAGGCCAGGAAAATCAGGGTGCCGGCTTCGAGAACGCTGCATAATGGTCTGTTTCAGAGTGCACCTGCACCTCTGCAACAAGCTGCACGATCCTAGTATGCGTGACAGTATTGATCGATGGGACTGAATGTAGGAAAATCAGAGGAAACACGTCCTAGAATGAAGTTACGTGAAGTTGACTGAAGATGAGTGGGGACTCGGGCACATTTGGTTTTCTAGCATGAGACATTCAATTCACACTGCAATCGCGTAGGGCTACAACCAGCTCCGTTGGATCACATTGCTGTAAAAAGTTCCCAGCCTCACCCATAGAACATAACGCTAAAAGGGCGGATCCGGTATAGGGGCGAGAAGCCTTAATCAGCACAAAATTGGATATCTATCGAAATAGAATATTGGACTAGGTACGACCTCGGGAGTATCTAAGTTGAGCTGTGGTTTTCGAGAATCTGACCAGCCAAAGACTTGCTAATATTATATATAGAAACATTCACTAAAAGATGCCAAAATAGGGGAATACCAGATAAAAAGATTACCAGAGAGCAAAAACTGACCAGGAGCAGTGAGCAGTAGCCCTTGGAGAAAACACCCAGAAGTGATTATCCGAGGAAAATCTTGAAAGGAGCTGAATTGCTTTCAAACCTGTGTACGTCAGGCTTTAGATATGTGTAAGTTGTTATATTCTACATATTATTCTAACGCTACTAGTAGTTAGAGCAAAACCCTGGCTATATACTACCCTCTTTTAGAAATTGACTGTCTCTTGATCAAAAGAAACACAAAAAAGGGGGATTACATCGGTTCTTTATCAGGTGTTGGTTGTGGTTGTGCCGGGTGAATATCTTTTCAGCTAAGCAGTAAGCTGTCTTTATTAGGAGCGGCAATAGCGCTTTTTTTAAGATTATTTGGTGCTGGTAAGACCCTTTAATAACCTACCTCTCTCTTTTACCAGTTAAAGCTACCCCAGAAGTTACCGATGAAAGAAATGAATGTCAGAGAGAACACCCCAACCGGTATAAATCTGTAAGCTAGACATAGCCACCAGGGAGGGTAGCATGTAATACAGAGAGAATAAATGGATATTCAAGTTGTTATTTAAGAGAAAGAGATCTGAATGCTTTCTTGTATACTAGACCAGGCATTGAATACATCTCTTGTACCATGCATCTTATTACAGCGCTGGTTGACAAAAGTCATATTTTACTAGTACTAGTACTACGTATTGGGTGTCTGGGGACTAGCGCATACTAAAACTGATTGATTGGCGTTCAAAATAGGAGAGTCGGCTCAATCTTCTTGACGACGGACAAGCGTCAGCTTCTTTCCACAGAAAAAGCAGTCGACTACATTCTCTGGAAAGACTGAAAAACATAAGCAAGGGTCAACCCATGTACAGCTTGTACACAGCCCTTGAACGCGATATTTAGCTATCTTCAAGACTAAATTTGCGGCGAACCCTGTGGTATCATGTAGAAGTTCTTGGAAGCCCTTCCTTTCCCCAAGAGTATTAAGATCTTGAAAAGCCATGTCAACCACTATCTCGAAGCCCGCGATCACTCTGCGGTGTGCTCTCGTAGATGACTGCTGTGGCACTTAGGAAACCATCGAGGTCACTGGGGTCATTGAGATCCCAGTCGCTTGTTAGCAGGGATCTGAATCTTTCTAGGGACTGCTCCTTTAGTTGTGGCACGAGATATTTATCTGCGACTTGATAGACCATAGCGACAAAATGGAGGGGGCTTGTGACACCGTCCTTAGACGGAAAGTACTCCTTTTTATAGAAGAACTTCATCATCGCAATCATGGCATGTGGATCGTCTTCTTTTAGGGATATAATTTCTTCCCCGCTTTCCTGTAAGATATTATATTAGAGAGCTTGCATTCTGCAGGACATAGAACGCCATACTTTCCAGTTATTCCCGAGCCACAGGTTCTGAAAGTAGGCAGATTGGCTGGCAAGAACCACTCTGTGTACTGGAAGGGTACCATCATCCCCAAACTTGAGTGTGACATCAGTGAAACTATCAGTTCCCCAAAGGCTGTTATCTTTAATCAATATCGAGACAAAATCTAGAGAGAATCAATAACTTACTTCGCCATTCCTGTAATCAAACAATCAGTTGTGGGAGGAGGATTGCCGGTGTCATTGGGGGCAGAAAGAGCGGCTTCCTTACTTTCGGGACAAGACTTGCTGCGCCGTTTTGATTGACGACGAGGGGGGGGTAACAGGTCGCCATTGGTCGCCTGATAGTATTGAAATCTGGGTGATAGGTACTTCTTAGAATGAAGTTTAGAGGAAATTCTGGCGGATTTAGTTTCTAACACACTTAATTTATAGGTTGTGGAAACCACTAGTAACCGCCACGGGCTACTAGTACAAACTGCTATGTGGGATTATATCAATGTGAAAAGCTCTCAGCCTCATCCATCAGCAAACATTAAGTTGAAAGTGTAACCCAGGTATAATGGCGAGATCCAAAGAGAACTTGTAAAAAGTTACAGATCTATCAAAATGGCGTATTGGACTAGGTACCTCTATATTGAACTGTGGTTTTGATACCAGGCGGGTTCCGAAAAATATGACCATCATAACAAAGAAGTCAATGGCAATATAAATCCATTCAATATTTAACCAAAGAGAGGAGTGCTCGGGTCTCCTTAGAAATTGTCCCCTTTGCCAAAGGAAAGAAAAGCTAAACTGATATCAATTGCTCATTTACTAGTTGTAATAAAGATCTTTCACCTGGGCATGATTGAATTGAATAGCGCATATTCAGTATGCCAGGAGCGATCTGGATTTCAAACTATCACTAGTAGTACCTAGGCACCAGGAAGTCTTTGGAAATCATTACTTTAGGTCGTACCATAATTTCTTTAATACCCTGTGGGGTAGCCGGAAATCTCACAGACAAGGGGGGGTGTAGTCGGAATTAAACCTCAGAAGGGTCCCCGAAACCACAACCTTCATTACGGGTAGTAGTAGTTCTAGCCCTGAGTACTACTAGCAAACTTGAGAGGAACCAAAAATATACTAGTATGACTTTTATATATCCGCACAACAAGAAAATAGAGCACATTTCAAGTTAGCACGTTAGAGGCAACATGAAATCGAAGGTTTACTTCTTCAGTGTCTTCTGCTTCTCAGCATCAATCAACTTTCGCCCCTGCACAACCAAACCCTTCCGGCTGCGCACTGCATCCATATACCTCTTCGCAACATTCTCTTTATCAGCCAATTCACCCAGATCCTCTAGCTCTTCTTCGGTGGCGGGAACCCAGAAAGGATCTTCGTCCAAAGCTTCAAAGCCTGCGAAGATCAATTGCGGCTGGGCTGCGCCAGAAGTCCGCTTGCGAATCTCCTCAGCAAAACCGAATGATTCGGCAACAGGGAGAAGGGCCATGATTGTGAAGAATGGGGTTCCTTCTTTCATGAGCTCGGAAATGATACGGCCACGGCGACGAGTGATGACACCGTAGACACGACCCAATACTTCGGCTGTTTTGGGGTACACTGATTAGAACTAGTGATGTAGAAAAAGGGTGGAGGGGGAGAGAGCTTACTCGTTGCTTGAATCTCACAACTGTACATCGCAAGCATGATGCGCGGGCTCCAGTCTAGGAAGCCTTGCGAAATTCCTTCACGGACAAGTCGGATTGCGTCGCCAGTTAGACGACCCATATCTAGCTCGTCGTTTGAATTGGCCTGCACAGAAATGTCTTCCAGGAAAACCGCAATACCTTGAATCGGCTCCTGGCAGAGTGGTCCTTGGCCGGTGGCCAGCTGGAAGGAATACGCGATCTTGTCGCAGAGATCGCGAACAAGGTGAGCTTGCAGATCATTGGCCTCATTGGCATTGTGTTTAGGCTCGTCCACAAGGCTAGATAATTATGTTAGTCATTTGCTTCTCCGGAAAAGAATTACGTGGTAAGAGTAACTCACAATTTATCGCAAGTGTTGACTGATGTGGCATCAATAAGGATGTTGGGGCCGATTCTCCGAGGACCAAAGGAAATGATTTTATCAATGAGATCATTTCCAAACTTCTCGCTCTCGCCTGCCTCCTTGTATATTCTCTGCAGCTCTGTTCGGAATTCATTCAATGAAAGAATGCTACCTTCGCGGGCCTCATCAGCCGCGTCAGTAGCCACAATCTCAGTGGGCTGGCCATTTTCAGCTGCGCCTTCAGTGGCAGACCTCTTGTCTGATTGGAGCTTCTTGATAGTGCCGACCTGTTTTGTGAGGAACTCCGTCACAGCCTCTGGCAAGGGCACAACTCTCAAGCGAATAGTCATTTGCTTGGAGCCGGACACCATACAGACGCCTCCGCGGCCCACTTCGGGGTCTTTGGGAGCAGCCATTTCTGGGGATTCCACAATCGTCTCCCGATAGGGGACGATGGCCTCACCAGTTTGGATTTCGCAGCGAGCGAAGCGCTCAGTGAGATCCTTGACGCAGCGCTCTAAATGCAGTTCACCAGCAGTAACGATGACATGTTCACCGCTGGGAAGCACCTCATACAGTGCACAGGGATCGCTCTGCTCAAGCATACGCAGACCGTTCACCATCTTGCCAAGGTCTGCGGGGTTTGCTGGCTCAAGTGCAACACGAACGATAGGTGGTGTGCTCAATGAAATACCAGCCAAGTTGACGCTTCCCTCGACCTGACTGCAAAGGGTTCCGGTCTTGAGAACGTAGCCAGCGAGACCACCAATTCCGAATACAACACCTGCAGGAACCGACTTGAGAGGTTCTAGACTTCTGCCCATGAGCAGATACAGGTCGGTGACCGTAATCTTTCTTGGCTCTGGACTCTCGTGCGGGCTTGCGGGTGAGAATTTGGGGGGGAAGGACATAGATCTCATCTCCGACAGACAAAGTTCCCGAGAACAAGCGGGCAAATCCGATAAGATGTTCAGGATCTTCTTTTTCTTCCGTCTGCTCAGGTTCATCGGTTTCTGTTATTAGAGTCGTGTTCTCAAAAGCGGAGTGCATTCGCGAAAATTCGTCTCCTTGTCCTGCGCCAGCTTCTGCTTGCATTTTTGCAATCTCTTCTCGCTTGCGTCGAGCAATTTCTCTGGCCTCGTCCGCGGTCATAGTCCCACCGCTACGCTTGTTGCTTGCGGATAGCTCGCTCTCCGGGATAGCGGCCATCTTGCTAACATATGCAACGACAGGCTCCTTGGGTTCTGTCTTGAACTTGATCATAGCTTGTTTGATCTCTTCTGAGACAAATTTTGATCCGGGGGATGATTCGATCAGATCCGGAAGCCTGGCAGCTTGTGCAGAAGGTGGGCTCGGAAGGTATTCAATCACTGACACGAGAACAGCCGTTGACAAGGGTAGCCACTGTGAAAACAAGGTGGTCATGATATTCTTCGGATCACGAGAGCGCAGAACATATGGTGGGATGTTGATATTCAAAGACTTCGTGATCTTTTCAAGCAATACCGGATCACTATCACCGAGTTAGCACCGGAATTTCATTATTGTTTTATTTCAACCTACCCTTTCCCTTTATCACCACCTGTCGTGGCAGCGTATGCGGCCCAAACACTGTCGAGTACCAACTGTACGAACATAGGCTTCAGGGGCCTGCCTTTCAGATGCTTTTGACCCAGGACACGCTTAGTCTTCGGGTCCAGATAATAGTCACCCCATAGAACCTTCTCCAAAACTGTGCGTTTGATTCCAAGCTTCTTCTCGTAGATCGCAGCAAACTGCCTGATTGTGAAAGCCCAGCCATCAACCGCACTGCAAAAGATGACATTGTTCTTCTCAGGGGCGAAATAGAGATCTTCATCGTCACGCTCCTCAAAATCGGTGAATTCGCTGACACTCTGGGCCGACTCATCGTCCACAATTTTGGATTTGGACTTTTCCTTGGCAGAGGAAGTATTGGCGCGGTCTTCCATGCGTTCTCTCCATTGGAGATCCTCCTCCATGCGCTCACCCTGGTAGAAACTACCAATGACGGCATTGACCTGTTCCAATAGTCTGCTGAGATGCGAGTAGGCCTCGCTTGGGCTCATCATGAGTTCCGTGACCAATCGATCCATCTTGTTAATGACAAGGATTGGTTTCAGCTTTTCGACCCAGGTCTGCCGCAACACCGTCACGGTCTGACTGCATACTCCCTCAACAGCATCAACCAGAACAACGGCTCCATCACAGAGTCGTGATGCCGTAGATACCTCACTGCTGAAATCGATGTGACCCGGAGAGTCGATCAGGTTAATCAGGTACTCCTTTGGTACAGGCGCAGCCTCTGGGCTGGGGCGACGGAGCATGGAGAAGAAAAGAGAGATGGCCGAAGACTCCATAGTAATACCTCGCAACTGCTCGTCTGGACGAGAGTCCAGGTAGCGGATCTTACCCGCCAGCTTAGGCGAGATGATGCCATTTGTGGCAATCAGACTGTCTGTCAATGAAGTTTTGCCATGGTCCTACAATTCAGAAGAAAAAAGAAGACATTAATAATCAGTTTTGCTTCTCGCCCTCAATAAGGGAGCTGATCATGATTTGTCGACTTACGACGTGTGCTAAAATGCAAATCTGGTCACGCGAGTTAGTATATCGGAATCCGAGGGCACTGACATCACAGTGGGATGGAGGGGCAGAATCTAGAATCTCACATTTCGAATGTCCTCAGGCTTTCGCTGAAGGCGAACTAGATCGTCGAACGTTAACCACGGGCATTTTAATCAGTTCTGAGCATGCCCGGGGGTTCAGTGACTTCAGTGAAGGGGAAAGTGGTGGGGGAAGTCGACTTGGTTCGGAGAAAAAAAAAGTTGCTGAGAAATGGAGAAATACAAAGTAGTTCCGGCCGCCGCCTCTCGCCCGTTGACAATGCGACAACTGCGCAAATTACTTCAGAGAAATCCCCTGGGATTATAGCAAACTAGATTTTGCTAATCTACGTCATAGTGGGTGCATAAATATATTTTCTAGGCATTTTATTCTTTATTTCTATGAAGTGGTACTTTTACGACATGGCTTTGTTGACGCTGTACAGTCCAATCCACCTTTTGACTCATCGTGATTCATCGTGATTCTCGAAACGGTACGGGGACTTCGGGCCTTCTCTTGCTGCAATAGTATTTCCAGAACGACTGAGTCACTCTTCATCAAAGGAGAGTTTAATCTTCTTCGCCTTCTTAGGTTTCCGCGTAGCTGCAGTCTTGGGTTGTGTCTCCTTCGGTTGCATCTCTTCGGGCTCTGGCTTGTTGTCCTCGCCCACCACCTTCGCTTGCTTTCGCTTTTTCTGACCTCCAATCTCGGTCAAATTGCTCTGTTTGGAGGCGGCGGTATCAGATTGAGGTTTTGATTCGTCCTTGTTATCGGCTGTTGAGGTGTCGTCCGTCGGGTCATCGCCCTTGACAAGAGCTTTGTATTCCTCTTTAGATATCACCTCGTTGCTTTCCTCATCCACGTAGACCGGCTCATCGTCCTCTTCATCTTTGGGGTCCTTGGCTTTGCGAGGTCGCATAGCAGGTCGCTCCAGGCGACCTTCACTGCTTCCGTATTGGCCTCGGAGCTTCGAGAGAAAAGCAGGCTCGTTTGCCTCTAGGATATGAATGAGCACGGCTCTATATAGTAATGCGATCGTGGCGTACCGTAGGCAAGCTTCGGGTTCTTCGACATGGTCGCGGCGCTCTGTGATTTGACTGCGATCAGGTCAGGTCAGGCCAGGTTAGGTTCAAAACCGTAGTCTCTGTGGAACAATTGCAGTGAATCATCGAGAAACATCCATGGAGAATTTCACGACTGGGTCATATCCGGGCGAAGATTAAATTGTAATCGTCAAATCGTGAGGCGTCAGAGAGGTCAACTTCCACGCTGCGTGAGGAACAGCCGCGAACAGCTCCTGCCACGCTAAACCAAAACGGGACACATCGAAAAGTCCCAAGGAGCCGCTCTGCGCGTTAAGATCTCTCCATCCACCCATCCTCAACCCACACACCAATTAATCATGCTCTGCGCAAGTGAGTATTCTGCTGGAGTCGCCCGACTTGTGTTTTGCTTGCCGAGTTGATCGCTGACAATCTCTTCACAGTCTCCGGAGAGGCACCTCAAGTGCCTGTCCTCTCCCCCAAGAGCGGTAGGTCTTTCAATCCCGTATTGCGCAATTGACATCCACCTGACTCCTTAATAGGCAGTGTTTTTGAGAAGCGCCTAATCGAGGCTTACATTTCCGAGCATGGAAAGGACCCAGTGAACGGCGAGGAGCTTACCACCGAAGATCTCATCGATATCCAGTCGCAGCGCGTCGTTCGGCCCCGACCTCCCACTCTCACTTCCATTCCTTCTCTTCTCAGCGTCTTCCAAGAAGAGTGGGATGCGCTTGCCCTTGAAACATATACCCTGCAGCAGAACTTGGCACAAACACGCCGTGAGCTGAGCGCGGCCCTTTACCAGCACGATGCTGCCGTGCGAGTGATCGCGCGGGTGACGAAGGAGCGGGATGAGGCCCGCAATGCCCTTTCAAAGGTCACTGTTGGCGCTACTCGCTCCGCTGCGGGTGGCGAGGCCATGCAAGTGGACTCTGCTGGTCTTCCCCAGGCTGTTTTGGAGCGGGTTGAGAACACACAAGCTGCGTACGTTAACAATTGGTTTGCGATTCTTGTCGAATATCACTAACAAGTTTCTTTCATAGTCTTTCTAAGACACGCCGCAAGCGCCCTATTCCCGATAACTGGGCTACCAGCGACGGTATCTCTGCCTATAAGCCCACCGAGGCATCTGAGCCTCTGTACCCCGGTGGCCGTGTCTTGGCCGTGAATCCCACTGGCGAATTGGCCCTGGTTGGCAGTGCTGATGGCGTGGCTGGTGTCTACTCCATTTCCCAGAAGAATGTCCTGCAGACTCTGAAGGCAGATGGCCCGGTTACTGGTGGCACATGGGCCGGTGATAAGGCGGTCGTTGCCTCTGCTACTGGTTCCGTAAAGGTGTTTGAGAATGGAAGCGAAGTCGCAAGCTTTGCCTCCCACGCCGGCGAGGTGACTGCTATTGATGTCCACCCTACTGGTGATATTGTTGCCTCTGTTGGTGTTGATAAGAGCTACGTGCTCTACGATCTGTCTACGAACTCCGTCATTACCCAGATTTTCACTGATGCAGGTGAGTACTCGCTGACCCCATTTTACACTCGTTTGATATTAAGAACAGAGCTAACCACACTTTATCAGCTTTGCTGTCCGTCCAATTCCACCCCGATGGCCACCTCATCGCCGCCGGTGGGTCTGATAACCAGATCAAAATCTTTGATGTCAAGACTGGCTCCCCTGCTGCGGACTTCGCCATGTCTGGCCCCGTCAAGTCTCTCTTCTTCTCCGAGAATGGTACCTTCCTCGCAGCAGTCGCTGCGCAATCTACCACAGTCTCGATCTGGGACCTGCGCAGCTCTTCGGAAACCAAGGTGCTGGACACCGGCAGCCTGGTCAACTCAATCTTCTGGGATTACAGTGGTCAATTCTTGTTGACTGGTGGCCCAAGTGGATTGACTGTCCAGCAATTCACCAAGTCGTCGAAGAGTTGGTCAGAGCCCTTGCGCAGCGCGGTTCCCGCAGTTGCTGTGGCCTGGGGAGCCAACGCTCAGAGCATTGTGGCATTGAATGAAGCCGGCGCGATTACAGTGCTCGCACAGTCATGATCATTTGTTAAAATGTGTAATTTTAGAGCTGGATATCTGAATTTCTATAAGGTTTTTGCGTTCACAACAGCTCTCAATGCAAGAAAAAGCCTCAATGCTTTCTTTACTGGTGTGTCCGTAGCTGCTCGAGTCTCTTTGGATTTGTATTAAACGATGTTCCCTAAAGCTAGCCTTTTGGCAGTGAGAATTAACCTCTGTTGCTGCAGTATAACTACTAGTTCACACATTACTATGTTTCTTTTATCTTCCGTGTGCTGTGAGATAAAGCACGTGAATCCTCACTTACCGCCTTCGCTGTCACCGCCCTATGGTAAGTGACAAAATATCTACCGCCCGGGAGACTCGACCTGGTGACGATGGTGCCGCCGGGCGTTGACCTTACTCCTCCTTTTATCTCTCCATGGCCATTCCACGCTTTGTTCCAAGCTGATCAGCCCATTATTTGTCTGTGCGCTTTGGCTTTGATATGAACGACGAGACTGGCGTCCAGATCGTGGGCGCCAGGTCCAAGGTGAGCCATAAAACCGCGGGGCAACTGATAAAGAAAGCAATCTTCTAACTGTATCGCTTGTTTCCTGGTCACAGCGAACACATCAGGAAATGTCGCAGGAATCAAGCGAAGGATCATCAAGATCCTGGTTTGATCACTTTCGTCCCAGACCCGAAATCACCAGTGCTCGCCCTTCTCGATTGCCACACATCCGAACCTCGCGCGATGGATATGACCTTCGGAGCCCTGTCCATAGGCCAGCGCAGGAAGAAGCCGTCATTGACCTTACAGAGGAGCCCGAAACACCCCCGCAACGTATCTTGCCTCGCGGCTCGGAAAGCCGAAACTCAAATCCCGGGAGACTCCCGCGATTCGGGAGGGATATCTTGGAGAACATAGTTGATCTTGAGGCGGATGAAGAAGAGCCTACCAGCAATCCCACCGGAGGGACATCCACCAGCCCGGAAGTCCAGTTCGTCGGTTCCACAACTCGCCGCCACCCCCTTCCATCCCGGGGAGTAGACCCTTTCTCCGTGCGCAGGTCGAACCTCGCCCCACCGAATCCGAGACGTCGTCCCGTGCACAACAGTATGGACGACAGTATGCTTTCGTCAATCTTTTCCTCAGTTCCAAGTCTACTTGGACGAAGAAGTTTGGCTAGATTCCCGGCTCCGGATGTTGAGTCTTACATATTTGGCTCGGAATTACTCCCTGACTCTCTCGATGACCTAGGTCAACTCAACTATGCCATGTCTTCATTCCCCATGGGAAGTTCAACGCCGCAAGCACCCCCAAGTCGACGAAATGAATACAAGCCACCGAGCCCTGCGCCGGAAGGTTTTACGCGGACACTTGGCGAAGAGGACGTCGCTATTTGCCCCAACTGCTATTGGGAATTAGGTACCGGAGAAGGCAAGAAGCAAGAGATTTGGGTTGCAAAACAGTGTGGACATGTTTGTTGGCCCCTCATCTCACAGACGATTCTCATACTGATACATCTTTTACAGGTCTACTGTGGAGAATGCACTGACAACCGATCCTTATCAAAAGCTAAGAAGGCACAAGGCTCTATCAAGACAAAACCGTTCTCGAAGTGCCAGGTTCTTGACTGCGGCAAATCTGTCAGCGCGCCGACTTCAATGGTCCACATCTACCTCTAAATCTCTCTTGTGATGCCTTGCATCGCTCTCTTGCATGTCGGAGTTGTTCTCTCGGCTATCATCTCTCAAGTTTAGTTTCATTCTCTCTCACGTCGATACCCACTATGCATGGAAATGGATGGCGTTTTGCCTTTTTTCTCTCTTCTATATAATTCTTTTGCATGTCGGAGTTTTTCTCTCTGCGTGCGCATAATACTTGGTCGGGCTTCTTGGATTCGAATCAATGATCGTGCTTCGTACAATTCCGTTCACATTTTCGGCCCGGACTTCTTTACTAGTATTGTGGGTAGCATAGCTGTAGGTCTCTCATCTCTATTGAGAAATATGAAGTCAACCTTGAAGGGCTTCAAAATCATAGAACAAAAGACAAGATAGAAACTTACTTGGGAAAAGTCATTTTTTATTTGGACGGTTTCAACAAATTAAAATTTAGAAGGCACGCAGTAACCTTGGAATGCACTACTAGTAGTATACTATCAAAATAGGCCTCAATAGAAATGTACGGTAGTACTACTTAGTAACATGTTTGAACATTCTCCAGGTGTTTCTTGTGAAGAACTTCTTGGTATTTGAATGGGTTTTTACTTCAGTTTAAAATAGTCTTCCACATGATCAGACTAGGGAGTATCTACTCAAGTAGCCAATAGCACTCTTAATCAGTGAGAAATACCCTTCGATTCGAGGGATTTCGAAGTCGAGCTTCAAAGTTATTGTGTATAGTTACAAGTATGAATTGGTACCTCAGTAAATGGTACCTCAGTCACTCAATATGTCTATCCTGAGTACTTCAAGTCCGCAGAGGTATACGCTTAGAAGCTGTACTCGGGAATGTCAATACGGCTGACAGTCCAGGTCTTGCCACCATCGCTGGTCTTCATATCGCCAGTGACTCCCTCACCCTTGCCCATAGTGTTGATGTAGTCTGGGTCGGCAGTGTCGAGGATAATCTTGGTGTTGATCCACGCTAGAAATGAATGTATTAGCCATAATTTCGCACAGGCATGCTGCTTTTTATAACTTACAGTGGGCGCCGACAGTGCCGCAGTTTTCTTCAGCGCACTCAACGGAGCTTCCCCAGCCTTGAGCATGGCCGGAGCTGGTGGAAAGAGTGGAAACGGTCCTGTTGTTGATCTGGGCGGTCTGAGTGTAGTTTCCGCTCGCGTCGTCATACTTGTCTATATGAATTGTTAGCTGGCTTGAACTATACCATCATTCATCTCGAGTATATTCATACAGTGCATAGTCACCCGCTGGCCAGCAGTGGCATCCTTAGCCGGTCCCTGGACGGGCATCTGAGTGTTTGCTATAAACAAGGTTAGTATTAGGGGAGAGAATAGAGTAGTCGCAGAACGAACCGCTAGTACTGGTCAGAGTGTAGGCATAGACGCTCCAGGCATCAGACTGCCAGTTGTCGGCGATAGCCTGGATCAAGTCGCCATTCGAGGTTCCCATTCCAACCCACAGGGAGGCATCTCCCTGGTTGTTGCTCGGGGCTTGGGGAAGAACCAGAGTAGAGGTAGCCTCGCGAATCCAGGAGTTATCCGAGACAGGACCTGTGCTAAAGGCAGGGCCCATGGCAGCTTCAACGGAGCCGAAGGCCAGGACAGCGAGAGCAGAAGCGATCTGAGCAGAGGAAGGCATTGTGACAGATATAATCAGGATTCAAATTGAATGGGCTGTTAAAGCTTCGATTGTCGCCGAGAATCCGTGTTCTTTATACTTCTTTCCAAAAGATGCCCACTTCTATCATAGTGGCTTAGTGGAGGTAAATCTGGCCCTTCATTCAATGGGTGGTTTGATATATGGGGCATTTTCCACGAGTCGGAACAACACGGTCGAAACAGTGTTTGCAAGATAGAATGGCAATGGCCTAGTTATCGTCATTCGGTATTTGCCCCGAGATCTGCAATTGGCAGGTCGCACTTTAAAACAGCCGGCTCATTTAATTCCAACCCACTAGTGGTGCGGCCCTTTGTCCCGGGATGTCGATGATCTACAGGGTTGAGCTTGTCCGTTTCAAATTAGGCATTTTTACAGCCTGGTTGGATTCTTTTGCAGTAAAAGCAGCGAACATCTATAACTGACCGCTCAGTCAATACAATTGCTGTCTCAACTTGAACTCGTCCGAGTAAATATAGAAGTATTCTGATGACTGCCGGTGCAGTGGAGGCCCGGCGTTAGCTGCCAGTGGTTGGCATGCCCAGGTGAGACACAATATATTTTACTACTACTGGATACTGCCTAGGTAGGAATATAAACCAACTTCAAACTGAAACTTGAAGTTTGAACTACTGCCTGGGCAGTGCTTTTATGCAAATCCCCGAGGTTTGGCCGCCAAAATTTCAAGCTTACTATGCAGTTTCAAGTTGTCACCCTAAGATACGTTTTGTGATTGAGATCCAAGAACTGTATTTAAGCCTTATGATTGTAGATTCGAGATTGATTTCACTTGGTATAGTGGCTGGCTTGGCGATGCAAAAACAAAATGGTGTTGTTCGACCACCATAAAATGACAAAGAGGTAGGAGTGACAAATGAACAAAGAAAGAAACTGGATCCGGTTCAATAATACAGAAGTAGAAGGCAGTGTAAAAGGGTCAAAACCGGGTGACCGCAATCACTACCTCCCAGAGATGAAGTCCTCGAAAAACGCCCTGCTAGATAGCTCATACGCCACGCAGATCACCGTGGTAAGGCGACCAGATACCACGTACACTCTCGTTCAGACTTGTCACGGGCTTCTTGGTGCGCTTCAACTTCTCGCCGTTGGCCTCCTTGAGGATGTTGGTCTTCTTCATAATTTCGCTGGGCTCAAGGTTTCGCACGCAGATGGCTTTCTCGTGGCCATTGATGTAGTGACCCTTGATAACGGGGTGCTTTGCTGGTCGTGGGGAGACGCGGATTTCGATCTGGGGGTGTTCACGGGCAAAGGCAGCAAGATCCTTTGTTAGGAAGGAACTGCAGTGGTTTCCGTCTTGTTAGCAACATGTATCATTTCAATTAAATGACTCTCACTTACAGCATGCCCCGGGAGCTTCCGCCAAAGTTGCAATAGTGGAAGTCGAGGCGCTTGCATTGCAAGATGAAGGCACCGACGCCATTCTGTACACGGTTCAGTCAGTTCACATTCAACAAAGATCCGGCTTGCATCCCCTCCATTCATCCATAAACATACCCTGGCCGACGAGATCGTCTTGATTGCTTTTACCGGCATCGTTGTAACTGAAGTGTTCTTGAGATTCACCCACTTACACGGCTTGCTGACGCCGACAGGGAAACTGCCCGGGAACATTTTCAGAGATCACGTGGGCGGTGAACCCCACCCGCGCCAGAGCCGTCTGTGGCGTCTATGGCGCATAACTTCCTTGCTACCGCAGGACGCGACCCTCCTGACGCCTTTGTCAGGTTCCGGACTTCATCTTCACATCACAGCGATAGCAACGAGTCGCATCTCTCGATGACAGACAAACTCCCCCCGCCATTGCTGGCCCTCTTCCAGCCGCGGCCGCCCCTTCGATTCATCCCTCCCTCCGATCGCGCGCCCGAGGACTGCCAGAAAAGCACCATTTCCGGCGTGGCCCAGTACCTTGCCGAGGCCAAGAAGTTCGAAGAAGAGGTGCCCTACAATGCTACGGACTGTTGGATCCAGCGCAAATGGCGCCAGAAGCTTGAGAAAAAGGAGCAGCTTGCCAATCAGCTGACTGAGGGCCTGAAGACCTGTATGCGCTGCTCAAGGTTTCCCTCTCTGATATCCTACCCAATGCTAACTGCCATTTCTGTCAAATAGTCAACCCCGAAAATGACCCTCAAGCTCGAGGTGACCCATACAGGACCCTTTTCCTTGCGCGACTCAGTTTCGACGTGAAAGAAGCAGACTTAGAACGAGAATTCGGCCGCTTCGGCCCCATTGAACGAGTGATTATCCCCGAGCTCCGATCAGCCAATTTGCGATTACTGACATTTTACTCTCAGATTCGCATAGTGAAGGACACAGTCTCGCCAAAGGCTGCAAAGAGACCCGCTAGGGGCTATGCATTCATCGTTTACGAGCGTGAAAAGGACATGAAAGGTAATACTATCAGATATACTCTACACTCGCAGCAAGAATTTTCCAGTCTGTGGTAAGAAAAGCTCAATGCTAACACAGTTCGCCCACGTTATCAGCCGCCTACAAGGAAACAGATGGAATCCGGATCAAGGATCGACGAGTCCTAGTGGATGTGGAACGTGGTCGCACAATCAAAGGCTGGAAGCCTCGCCGCTTCGGTGGTGGCCTCGGTGGACGTGGATACACGAAGGCTATGCCCGCCCGACCCATGGGATTCAATGCGCCATCAGGCCCCGGTGGTTTTGGCGGTGGATTCCGAGGTGGCTTTGGTGGAAGAGGCTTCCGTGGGGGAGGCTTCCGCGGTGACCGCGGTGGTGACCGTGGAGATCGCTTTGGACCCCGCGGTGGAATTGGTTACCAAGGAGGCCGCAATGGCTTCGGTGGACAGCCGCCTCCAAATGCTCCCTCTGGCCCAGGTGGTGGTGGACGTGGTGGGTTCGGAGGCGGCTACGGTGGTAGAGGAGGAGGAGACAGATTCGACCGTGGCGGTACTGGCAGCAACCGAGAGCCCGTCAGGCCCCGAGATAGCTACGCTGACCGTGACCGTCGTGACCGCGACGGTGACCGCTACAGAGACCGTGACCGCATGTCAGACCGCAATGGAGACCGTGGCGGAGACCGTGGCGGCGATCGTGGCGGCGATCGTGGCGGAGACCGCTACAGGGATCGTGATCGTGAGCGTGACAGGTATGGCGGCCGAGAGGATTACGGACGGAAGCGACACCGTGAGGATGATGAACGCGACGACCCGCGATCTAGGAGGCGATACGATTAAATGCCCTAGCTCCTTGTTTTCCCACGGAAGCTATTCTTTTCCCCTTCTCAGCCCCGATATGCTGGTGGGTATCCCCGATTTCTCTGTCGTGCGTCCCTTTCTTTACAAGGTCAAAGGGGTAAGGCGAGAACTAAAACGATGCATTGGGAAATCGGTTCGAGATGTTCAGTGTAGAATGTCGATTGTTCCCAACCCGCGAAGAAAACCGCCTCTGCTCTTATTTTGATTACCAGGGCCCCTCCTTTACCTTGCTCCGAGGCGCACATATGAGCCGGAGTCGGTCTCAAACCCTTGTGGTCCCACGAAGTGTTTCTGTATTCCCCGTTTTCTATCTGTTCTGAGGCCCCTCGGGACTTTGGTCTCTTTTACGTTTGTTCCAGTCTTTTTTTTTACTTGGTCCAGTTGGGTCTTTGTGTCTCTCCGCAGGGGTAAGTATGTACTTTAGTCGAACCAATTTTTCTTCAAATGGTGGAATTCAATGAAGCTCAGGTAAGACCAGGTAAGGTCCGTTGCAATGACTGAAAAGCAGACATCTCGCTAGGTACTAGTTGAATGAGCGAAGATAAATATACTAGTAGTATCAAGAGTTTCATACGTGGGGTCACAGAGATTCTATGTAGAGATTTTTTTTATCCAATTTGGTATCCATAGTACTAGTCATAGGCACATCAATCGGAAGAGATCACAATCTTCCAGGAGAAATTTGTGTAAGAAAAAAAATATTCAATATATTTCAAAGGAGAAGGAAAGCGCCAACCCAAAAACTCCGTAAGATGCCCACAGAGAATCTTTTTTTTAGTCGACCATACAGAGGCCGAAGAAGACAGAGAGAGAGACAAATGAACAGAAAGCATCGGCATCTATGCATCCACCTCCATATCACCTTGCTCGAGGATCTTCACCTCGTTGGATTCGCGCTCCCATTGCGCCTTCAAGTCGACCTTGAACTCGGAGGAAGTGACACCAAACATCTTCATAAGAGTAGTCTGGCGGGAATCCAATGTGTCGCCCTTGCGGCACACGGGGGAAACTCTCTTGGCCCTCGGTCAGCTCAAGCATAACCTTGCCCTTAATCAAGCGGGTGGGGACACCGAGCTTGCGCAGCGCAGGCTCAATGGTGTGGCTGAGGGGCTCGTCGTCGTGTTCAGGGATCTCGCCAGCCCGAGCGCAGACCAGGCCGTTGGGAATAGAGAAAGAGCGAGTGGCCTCGGTGCCGGCACGGGCGAAATCCTGGGGACGGAAGTTCTCGAAATAGTCGGTGACTGACTTGGCGGGGCGGGAGGTGAACAGGAGACCGACAGCGCCGGTGAGGAAGGGAGTAAGCTTGTGCAGGTTGGGAGCAGCCTCAGTCTCGGGGGTGCTTCCCAGAGCCTTGGACATGACCTTGGTCTTGCCGAAGAAGAGACTGGAGATATTATGTTAGTAAAGTTGAAGAGATGAATTGGCATATATAACAGGACGATTGCGCCGTTCGACAACAAAATCAAATCTGCAATATTGCCCCACTAGATTCCTCGACACATACCGGCTGTCTGAGAACTCAGCGCGCACATCCTTCAGGTAGGTGTTCCGCATGTTGTCCACCGCAAAGAGGAACAGATGATCATATTCCTCGACACATTCCCGAATGTTGGCATACAGACGGCGGGTCTGCTCCTTGTGGTCCTTCTTGGTCGTCTTGGACTCATGGACGACGCGCGCGCGCTTTGAACGAGGCATTGTGAAATTGGTGGAGTTGAAGTGTGGTTTGTAGTTTGCGGAGGAGGGCCTGTGGCATTTAAAATGCCATGGCCATTTTTTTCTGATAACCGGATCAACAATTGTGCCGCGCTTATCCGACCCCACTAGCCCCGATGTGGCAACCAGCTGCAGCGCATCCCATCCCATCCTCTACACTTCCGCTCCTCTTTCTATTTACAATTGCGAGACGACCAGGGTGAGGGCCGACAAGGCACAATGCTGGATTTCATGGACTACATCCAGCTCGCCTTTGCGGAGGCCACCAACTGGAATCGCGACAATTCCTATCTGTCCCTCACAACAACCGCGCAATGTAAGTGATCCTCCCGATTTCCACTGGTTCAGGGATGCGCCATGAACTCCAATATTAACGTGTCAATCACAGCGCTCCTCGACTTTTCTACCCGGAACGACTCCGTGTCCGTGCTTCTTCGCTCTCAACTCCGCATTTTGCGACCAGTTATACCCTAGGCACAGGGGGCATGCTCGATGGATCCGTCTCATACCTCTTCAGCACAGTTCCCCTGCACGATACTCCTAGCCGGAGCGCACTAGTTCCTCTCCGCAAGATTTCTCTGGGCTATCGCCAGGTATATGCGCCAGTGGCCCCTATACAAACATGGGATTGGGATACAATCCTAGACAAAGTCAGCATTCCTGGCTTCAAGGACGGATCTCCATCACCTCGGAAGGATGATCAAACGCCGGAAGAGGTAGCACAACGAAAGGCAACTCTCTTGCATGCTTCTTTGCAGCTTCCGTCGCCAACTACCCTTTATGCTCTATTCCTGCGGAGAATGTCTCCAACCATGCAGTTGTCTCTAGCAGTCTGCTCGACCCAGGGGCCACCACTATCAAAGTCGGCACCGCAAGCCTCCATGCTGGCTCAATTATCCCATGATACGGGAAAATATTGCAATGAGTATCTATTCAGTACAGACAACGCTCTCTTCGGCTGGCGTGGTCTTTGGAACTTCGGCCCTGACCCTCGCTACACTCCCGACGATGCACCGCCTCGATTGTCACTTCTCTCTGCTGGTGCAGAGGCATATTACTCCCCGATCTCCTCCCTCATTGGAATGTCAACAGGGCTGCGGTTCAGCACTCTTCCCGCCGCAACTGTCACACCTTCGCCTTCATCTTCATCCAGTCCCCCAACGCCAATATCCACATTCCCATACACATTGACACTCACCCTCACACCCATCACCGGCTCTTTGTCCACAACATACTCCCTCCGCGCCTCACCGAACATCGCCTTCAGTTCTCGATTCGGCTTCAATGTTTATAGTTGGGAAAGCGAGATGGTTGCTGGCATTGAACTCTGGCGCAATACTAAGAACTTCGCCCGCGCAGATGACGATCTTGAATGGGCTCGTCGCAAAATGCGCCTGCATGATTTCTCCGCCTCGATGCCCGGTTCCCCGCCAGCATCCCCACTGCTCTCCGACCCGGTTCATCCCGAGCCCGCATCCAGCTCAGAGAGTGATAATAGCGAGGCCACTGATTCAGTGATTAAGCTTCGCATCGATCAGTCCTGGAATCTGCGTCTGCTGTGGGAAGGCCGAGTCAAAGAGCTCCTGGTGAGTGCGGGTGTCGGGCTGGGCCCGGGTTCATTCTCCCTGTCACCTAATGTTTCCTCCGGCGTCCCGGGGAGTGGGTCAACGCAGAGTGGAGGTGGCGCTCCTTCATACTGGCGCGGGGTTGGAGTTTCAGTGATGTATTCATCATGATAGAACATTACACATTACATGGATCTATCGCTGCATTCTCATTACTCAATTATTATTGTTCAAATAGTTTAGAAGTTGGTTTACCAACATCTACGAATTACTTATTGGTTGGAAGGAGGTTTTTTTAATATGCCGCAAACCGGAAATATTCGCGGCTCAACATTGTACATAGTTTCTCATGACAACATATCACGTTTAAATGTTTTAGCCAAACTGTCTGGTATTATAAACCCTTTAAATGCGGGCGTTGATGATGTCGACGACTGAAGGTAGAATTAGTATCGGGTTTATAGTATACGGGGCGAATCAATTGCAACTTACAAGCAGGCTTCAAGCTGGCACCGCCAACAAGGAAACCGTCAACATCGGGCTGGGTAGCGAGCTCGCGGCAGTTCTTCTCGCTGACAGATCCACCGTAGATGATACGGACGGTGTCCTGGGCCTCCTTGGAGACGGTAGCACCGAGCCACTTGCGGATCTCGGCGTGGACCTCCTGGGCCTGCTTGGTGGTAGCGACCTTGCCGGTACCAATGGCCCTGGAGTGAAGAGTTAGCAACTATATGCAAGAGGAAGTATGTTCGATATAGATGTGTTCGTACCAGACGGGCTCGTAGGCGACGACAACCTTAGCCCACTGCTCCTTGCTCAGCTCCTTAGCGGCAGCGTTGAGCTGACGAGTGACGACCTCAATGGTCTTGTTGGCCTCACGCTCCTGTTGTTATGACAAAGAAGTCGGGTGTTAGCGGAGTGTATTTCATGCAGGTCCCATCCCGATGACCCACACCGGGACCGGGACGAAAAACGGGTAACCGAGCGAATGCTAAATGACGTACCTCAAGAGTCTCACCAATGCAGAAGATAACAGAGAGACCACCGTCAATAGCGGCCTTGGTCTTGCGGGCAATGAACTGTTGTTTGATACGTTAGCTCAAGGCCACCCTTCTCTACCCCGGCTGCCGTTTTGGGCCGCCGGTGTAAGAATAGAGCTTGTAAAGTACGTACCTCGTCGGACTCCTTCAGGATGACACGGCGCTCGCTGTGACCGATGACAACCCAGTCGATGCTGGTGTCCTTCAGCTGCTCGACGCTGATCTCACCGGTGAAAGCACCGTTGGGCTTGTCGAAGACGTTCTGGGCAGCAACGCCGATCTGCTTGTTGGCCAGCTCGCGGGTGAGGGTGAGGTAGAGAGCGGGGGGAGAGATGACAACCTCAGTAGAGGCATCGAGCTTGGCGTCGTTGAGGTTCTTGACGATGTCGGTGATGCTCTTGACAACACCGTTCCTGGGAATTGGTCAGATTCATGCTCTGGAAAGCTGGATACGCGTCCGCGGAGGAAGGCATGGAGGAGGGGCAATGAAGTGAATCGCGGGGTAGTATAGAGAGAGAAAGTAACTTACATCTTGAAGTTACCGCCGACGAAGAAAGTGCGAGACATGATGAATGATTATTGAGGGGGTATTTGGTAATTGAGATGTAAAAAGCTGAAGGGAAATAGGTTGAGGAGGAGAGTTGGGCGGGCCAAAGAAGGGAAATAAATGGAGGGGCAGACAACCCGAAGATCGGCATTGTGCCTGAATTCTAAGGCACCAACTATGACATAACCAGCTGTCAAGATTCATGGAAGATGCGCTTTAAGCTTAACCCTCAGACATGGTCTATATGTAACTATATGCATGAATCACTTCAGGCTGCATTGATCAGCTGCAGGTCATCAAGGGTGTTCTCTGTCGCTTACTAGTCGATTCATGCGGCTGAAAAAGCGTATGGCCATGCTTCCGGGGTACTATCAAAAACAAAGTACCAGGAAATACTAGTATCGTAAAGCATTTCGCCCACATATTGGCTATAGCCGGCCGAATATAACACCAACTGAACTCTCAAATTGCCCATGTCCTACTTCTTCTGCTAAAAGTAGATCTTTTGTGAGTCAGTTTGTCTGCATAGATTCCCTCCTCTCCTCCTCTCCTCCTCTCTTCCTCGCTACACATATCCCACTATTCATCCCTTTTCTCCTATCGCTGTATCCCACGTATATCTTTCTCTTTTTCCTGGGAAGCCGAATGGCTACATGCATGGATAAAGGGATAAAGATCACGATTTGAATAATATGCGGAGATAATGAATGACAGTAATCGAAAAGCAAACACAATTTCAGAATCACAACAGAGCTAATATCACCAGGACAAAATTAACTAAACATTATTGATTATTCCCGACTCCACCAGTATTCGGGCAATCGCACCCGCAGTGGCGCATCGAGGAGAAATCCCAGAAAGATCTCCGGCGCTGTAACTGACGAGAATCCTTCATAGTTTTCTGCAGTACTCGGGTCTGGTTCTCAAAAGCCCTCTCCCACTGCTCAATTCGAGCTTCACAATCAAGCAGACGACTTCGTAGTTCTTCATCATCGATCCTTTGGATTCGATATTTCTTTTTCCATGTTTTATTAGAGTCCGTTCCCACTCCCGAGGAGCCCCTGGCCCTCTTAACGGGAAGGCTGTTCTTTGCTGCCACCATGTCTAAATTATAATAGCGCAAAGGATGATACCTATCCAATTTCCTTTCCCTATTACGGCTGATTGACCGCCGACGATGTTGGGGCCCAAAGCCAACCGGGACCTCGCGATTACCAGGGCTACAAGAGCGCTGTCGAGGAGTAGCCTGATCTTGGTGTGATGGTGACTCTTGACACTCACAGTCCATGCCATCGGGATGCTCCGTGTCGGAGCTAACATCGGATGGAGATTCATCAAATATCATGGACTCGTCATCATCATCACTGGTCACTTCCTCAGAGGACCAGATTGACTGATTGTCGATATTTCGGTTTTCCCTATTACTCTTTCAACACTGGCATCCAAGCTTGTTGTATATTATCCGGCAATTCAAGTTTGCTGGCTAGGATTTTTTGCTTACTTTTTGGGTACAGTGTGTCCATGCGTAGCTCTGTATTGATCTTCGATACTAGATCGTCCCAAATCAAGTCTAGTAAAGGGTGAAGTAACGGACACCGGCCGTGGCATTGGTCCTTGAACCACATTACCCGGGCCAATGATTTGACCTGGCACAAACGGTGGGGCTGTCTGGTAGCCAGGAGGCATCAAAATTGCAGATGGTCTGTTAGAGTCTTGTCTAGTAAAAGTTACCCCAAGGTCAACCAAATCTCCCATGGGTGTTCTCGGATAGACTTTGGTCTTCATGGGTCTTTTCATAAGAATGACATCCATGGAGACAGTCTCGTAGTCGTCGCGATGAGCATTGCGGGGTTTAGATGCTCTATCACACTCTTTAGCATAGACACAGCTCCACTCATTTGACGGGTCGTTTCGACGTTGCTCGTGGATCAATTGATTCACGTGAGCACGTCGAGTATCCGACAGGTTTTGATACTGCTGCGCGGCTGAGACTTTATTCGCACGCTTGTGAACCATCTTATAGAATTCACTCTGGCTAAGGTGCATGTGAGTGCGCTCCACCCGGCTCCATGTTGCCTTTTGTCCAGGCATGGGGTCTGCTTTGAAGAATTGAAATCCTTCATACCCTACGGTATTGACATTGGAATCCGATGCCCCCGAACTTTGGGCTTGTAGGGGCTCATTTCCAGAATCGATTTGAAGGTTTGGTCTTATTTGAGGCGAGATTTGAGGGGTTGGGATTCCCGAGGAGCCGCAATTGTCTTTGCTGCACTCTCTTGGGGTCTCATTGTCGATATAAGAAGTAGTCATGGTTCTGGTATATGGGAGGATAGAACCGCACGGCACATAAATCGATTGTTTGTTCTCAGAGAGATTGAAGGTAATGTTGAGCTTTCTCTAGATTGCATGCGATCGCGCTCTTTAATTTATATGAAATTAATGTTCTCGTGATGTATTTGGCTTACACCCGGGCGAACTGGCCGGGCGGTTGTAAGCGATGTTGATTGGCCACTCATCGCAGAGCCGCATATTAACTTTCAAGGCTGTCGCGCCCCCCACAAACCCGGGTGACATGGACTGACATCTGGGCCAAGAAGTTACAGCGGATGACTATTCAGGATTTTTGACTATTATTTTTTTTGAAGAAAATTGTCTCAATGGGTTCCCGGTATGCAGATAGCCTGAGCCGCACTAGTAATCAATTACGTTACTTACTTTGGTAGGATATACCACAGCTGGGCCGCCGTAGATGTACCCTCAGGGTGAGATATTCTCGGCCCCCAATTGAGCCGCATGACCCAACTTGAATACGATGTAGATGGGTACTAAACCTTTGTTTTTCATGTTTGACCCAGCTGTTATGCAAGGGTTTAGCATTTAGACCCAGAGTGAGGCTGCCTTGTTCATCTCTCATTTTGGGTCTTGCGTTTTTCTCTCTCAGACTCTGGTCAGTGTTTGCATCCACCATCCTCTTCGATCCTGTTGTTATTTTTTATTTCCTTTTGAATTTCCTTTGTCAACCTACTGTGGAAATCCCGCGGGTCATTTTTCGAAATAAAAATAAAAATCTCTTTGTGAAAACTGGTGCCAAAGACCAGCCAAACATTGTCACTGAAGAGGTATCATTATTTTGAAAGAAGTACCTCTATTCGTTTGTTTTGAAGGGATTCTTTGATTTATGCTATCCTTAAAACGTAGAGTGATCATTGTCTTCAGCTAGTCCCCTCGTTCCCTCTTATAGCAAGCTTCCTCGAAAGTTGTAATTATAAAGATATTTGAGCCATTTTAATTCAAGCTTTCATGATAAAATTCTGATCATACAAGGCTCTACTGATTTTGCAAACTATCAAGCCTTCACTATGTCGATATCAATTGACGATCGGTGGGCAAACTCATTCCCCGTCATTGTTAATGATTTACTAAACCCCGATAGCAATTTAGCCAAGGAGCATCCCCATCTTCATCAGAATTTACGCTCTCGTCTAGAAAGGGCATTTGTCGCACGGGGTGATCAGCCTCTCTCTCGGTGCACACACACTATTTTCGATGGATATGATGCCGGCCGGAGTGATGCACTCCGTTTCCAAGAAAACGAAGACACTGGGCTGATCAATAGGATAGATCCAGTTTTAGACACATCTGAGACTCGAGCAACATCTCTTTGTGCTGATTTGACTAGTCGAATGGAACTGTATGGCCTTGCTGGTACAGGAAGTAATTTACTAGTACCCTCCCCCCTTTTACTATTTGTTAAACATGCTAATAAATCACAGCTTTTGGTACAGTTTATCTTGCACGCGAAAAAGATACCAAATTTGTTGACCCGCGTTCTTTGAAACACTTTGCTATCAAGGTGGAAAAGCATCAAACCATGCTTTCCCATTTTTTGGCAGCATACTACTCTCCCCCCATGGTTATGACTTTTGAGAAATCAAAAGATCTTCGATTTATCCCTACAGAAGCCTTTATCATGCTCTTATTAACCACAAGTAATAGGTTCCCCAAGCTAGATTCCATTCATCTTCACGACCGTTTTCAGGCAATTGTCATGTCTCCCTGCGTCGACTACGCCCCTGACCTTCATCCTCTTCCAGGAGGAGGATTCCGTCGTGTATTTAAACCTTTCACGGGCAGGTATCTAATGAAATCAAATGGAAAGCCACTTTTAGATGAGATGGAAGCTTGCAAAGTTGGGTCTCAGATCTTGGAAGGGTTTTTGGAGCTGGCTGATTTGAATCTCTGGCATAATGATTTCTCGGTCAACAATTTTGTCGTTGATCAGGAACTTAATGTAAGTGATACAAAACCCATACTTTGAACTTTGGCACTAACTTTTTTTGGATTATAGGTTACGATTATTGACCTGGGAGATGTCAAATTTGGGCTGAAGGAGGCTGACTTTATCAATAACAGACGTGCTTACTTGCTTTTCCAGGAACATCTAATGTCACCCGAGCTAGCCAGGGCTTTGTCAGTCCAAGGCTGGTTTAAAATGTATCCAGATGACAAACACGATATGCGTCAGGTCATCATTTGGAAATTTGGAGTTATCTTATTCGGCATTCTGCATGGCTACTGGCCATGGGATGGTCAACGTGAAGGGCAGGACAACCTGCTCGATTTTGGTTCTTCCGAGTCTCAAATTCCAAGAGTCATGGAAAGACGAGCAAGAATTATGAACGATCCACTACTATTGAATGAGGGCCTCAGTCAGGATTGTAAAGACGTACTGCGTGCCATGTTGGCAAGAAATCCGGAAGATCGACCGTCCCTGCGGCGACTGGCAAATTGCTATCCTTGGTTCTTTCAGTGGACATACGTAAATCGTGTTTGGAGGCGGCCCTTCTCCAGGAGATTCTATCATCATTCTTTCAAATAATCTAGCTCAATTTCATAGAATTACCAGTAGTAGAACATGGAAGTGAAACTCGCAGTAATGAATTCCAAGTTGGGCCTTGGAACCAAGTTCAACTCGAAGCCTCTAGGGCTTTTGAGTCGAGGAAAAGTACTAGTACCAGTATCTAGGTATTGTTCGTACTACCAGTATATATATTCAGATGAAGACTGCCCAAAACGTTCAAGTTCAAGTTAAACAGCTCCGAAACTCAGGTGTGTTCAAGTTGTCACTTACGCTACTTTGAAATGTAATAACTATTTGGGTATATCGTTTTGATAATGATTGATTCCAAAATTTCAACATAAGCCCAATCCGTGAGGCAATCTGGCACTCAAAAGCGGAACGTGGCATGCTATCATAAGGCGGTACCCGGGGCGCCTCGGGCGATTTTACTTTCATCCTGAGAACTTGAAGCAGGCAGCCTATTTCGGAGATTGAAAGTTCCTAATTATCTGGCTATTTTTATATCTAGCTGAACATTGTGAGCATTGCCAAGGTATAGTGGTGTTCCCGATAGGACTTCGCCACTTCCAAGGCTAAATGGGGTATTACGGAGTATAGGCAACAATGCTAGAGTCGCAAGGTATTGCATGTAAATCGACGAGTAATACGCTTAGCAAAGGATGGCAGTATCAAATCAAAGAGGCTTGCGCCAAAAACCAGCCCATTTCCAGGCCCTGGTCATCAACAGCGGAGAATACGAAAGCAAAAATAAACATGTCGTCGTCATCGTCGAAGACTGTCCAGTCTAGCCTGAAGGTCATCATCATCAGTATGCGCCCCGCCACCTATAGCCTGCGCAACTCGGGTTTCTTCCGCGGGTGCCTTTTGAATATCTGAGGGGGTTTCGCCCAGCTGTGATGAAAATGGTCAGCATTCACGCAAGTAGGTCTTCGTGCTCGGTCGTGCAAACGTACTTGCTGTCCCAGATCAACACCAATTCCGTCCAGAACTTCCTTGATGATGTCTTCTCCTTCCTCCTCCTCTCCTTCCATGCCGGTAGCTTCATCGATCGCATCATCCATCATTTCTTGTCGTTCATCCATTATTTCGTTCTCGCGCTCGAATTCCATTGCAATACGTTGAAGACCCGGGAGGTTCATTTGTCGGTTCATGCCGCCTAGGAGTTTCGTCGCGCCTTTCATAGACTGCATCATCTGCTCATTGCTTCGGACGGTCTGGGGTAAACAATAGTAAGCATCGGAACGAACATCAGTCGTGAGTCGGCTCCTACCTGGATACGGAGCGAAATGGCCTGTAACTGTGTACGCATTTGGTAGAACTTCTGAATATATCTATGGTGCGATATTTCGTCAGTCGTCTTTGTCAAGAGGCAGCGCCGAGGAGTTCGTATACCACGCACCTTCGTGTCCGCACCAAGTCTTTGGCCTGAATCTTGCAAGCTCCGATCTGGCCATTTTTGGCGCTCTTCTTAATGTCTTGCACCAGTTTCTTCTCTTGATTCTCTAACTTCGTCCGCTCACGGTCTAGTTCGCGCTGGGTCCGATCAAGGGCTCGCTGGTGTTTGCGCAGACGCTCGGCGGGCGTCATGCGCTTGCCGAAGGCCCATTCGATGACCTGGAGGAATTCAGATTAGCAGCGGTTGAGCGGATTGGAGAACTGAAACTACTCACGTTCATGATAATCTGGAGGAGGGAGAATGGGGAGAAGAAGAGGGGAATCGCAGAGGTTTAATTGCCCCCAAGGCACCTCTGGGCAGTGACATCAAGGCGGGACCGCCGCATTACGGCACGGTACCGTGGGCGGTTACCATACAGATGTAGACATGGATAGTGCAGGACCATGCATTCACTTTTAAAAAACCGAAAATTTTACATACTCACGAATGAATCTCATTCTTAAACTCGTCTTATTCTTGATAGTAAGTTCAATACAAAAATATAACTTAACAAACAAGTCCGAGTCAAAAAGCCAGGAAGTGTTAAAAGCGATCGGCATGACGGCACCGGTAAGTTACAAGTCACATGGCCCGGCTAAACCCCTTCAAGCCGAAAGTGACCTTCCATGGAAAACTGCCCATCCAACAAACAAACACCTTGACACCGTCGATGGCACACCAGCGCTGCATATATCCGTCATGAGTCAGGAATATCACCCCGGCGAGGGCTCGTCGAGAGCCGGTTCGTCTCGATTTGGGGGCGAGGAAGAGGAGAGGAGTCCGTTCCAACCCCCGCCAGCATATATGACTGTGGGCAACGGTTCGACGTCAGACACCGCCACGGCTTTGATGAGTTCGCTGAACAACGATTCGGGATATGGAGGTAGCATCGCAGGCGACAGCACCATGGAAGCCGATGCGAATGCGGCTTGGCGTGCGGAGTTGAGGCAAGACAGGCCAACTCCCGCGCATACTCCGACGCGCCCCGGCGAGTGGAATCCTGCAAGTAAGTTACTCGAACGGATAAAACAGCAGTCATTCTGCCCCGGGTTCTTTGAACTAACATCATGTGCTATAGTGGAACACGAAAGACAAGTTGTCGCAAACCATGTGCATCAACTTCTATAGTATGTTGGGATTCTTCCAGGTTTCCGTCAAACCCTCCGAAATGCTCATGTTTGTGTCTTTAGCAACTCGAACCGGACCAAGTTAGGCCGTGCGATCTCCAGAACCATCGAAACCTTGAAAGAGCTCCAGGATATGAATCGCCAGTGGCCTGCCCACTATCCCTCTGTGCAAAACTCCCAAAGCAACCCTTCTTCCCCTTCGCAACGGCCTCAATTACAATATTCGCATTCGTATTTCAGTGCAAATGACAACCAGCCATCAACGCCGCCTCGCCCAGGACAACTCAAACGTGCAGCAACTACTATGGGAGGGGATGACTTGGAAGAGTCTAGTGCAGCTGCTGAGCGCCGCCCACAACCTGAGCCTAGATTAATCACTCCTCAGATTGCGCAGGAATTCTCCATTCTCAAGTTAGACCTGAAGTTGGGCGCTCTATCGCAGGCCGAGCTGGTGCATTCGCTGGAGAAGGCTTCAATCGCCTCTCTGCTAGATGGGAAAATTAACCAGAGCATCAAACACCTTCTCTCCCTCCGAGACCGAATCGAGGATACTGCAAGCAAGGTACTTATTACAGGAGACCTCAACGCCGGAAAATCCACATTTTGCAATGCCTTGTTACGCAAGAAGGTTCTCCCCGAAGACCAGCAGCCCTGCACCAGCATTTTCTGCGAAGTTCTGGACGCCCGAGAGAACAGTGGCATTGAAGAGGTTCATGCTGTGCACAAGGATGTCCAGTACAGCCGCAACGATGAAAGCACATACGACGTCTATGCAATGAGCGAGCTTGAAAACATTGTTGTAGACAACACCAAATACATGCAATGCAAGGTTTACGTCAAGGACGTTCGATCGATCGACGAGTCTTTGCTCAACAATGGCGTGGTTGATATCGCACTGATTGATGCTCCTGGTCTCAACTCTGATTCACTCAAGACAACCGCCGTCTTTGCCCGGCAAGAAGAGATTGACGTTGTTGTGTTCGTGGTCTCTGCCGCTAACCACTTCACCCTCTCCGCAAAGGAATTCATTCTCAACGCTGCCCACGAAAAGGCTTACATCTTTATGGTTGTAAACGGATTCGATCAGATTAGGGACAAGCAACGATGTGAGCGCATGATCCTGGACCAAGTCGCTAAGCTCAGCCCTCGCACTTATAAAGAATCTGCCGAATTGGTTCATTTTGTTTCGAGCAACGCGATTCCAGTTGCACCTCCTGTGGCTGTGTCTCAGTCTGGCTCCGGCGGCGGTGATGGTGGCTCTGATCCCCATGATGATGATGACGATGACAAGGCTGATTCCGGCAAGGATAAGGGCAAGGGCAAGGAGAGGGAGAAGCTCCAGGACTTTGAAAACCTGGAAGGGGCTCTCAGACGCTTTGTTCTGGAAAAACGGTCTCGATCTAAGCTCGCCCCAGCACGAACTTATCTTCTGAACCTTCTTGCCGACTTGAACTCGCTTGCCACTGTCAATCGTGATGTCGCCGAATCGGAACTGAAGCGAGTGACCGAGGAGCTGGCAGAACTGGAGCCCGCTTATGAAAATGGTAAGAAGAAAAAGAGTGAATTGGCCGACGGTGTAGACAAGGCCATCGACGATTCTTGCGATGATGTGTACAATCACACTCGATCTTATTTGTCGAGCACCATTGCTCGAGTTTCCGATGCTAATCTTGGCGTTGAATACCCCGGTCTATTCTCGGTCTTCCAATATGCCGAGGACTTGAAACTCGCCATGCTCGATCAAATCTCTGCTGCGGTCACCGGCTGCGAGGATTACGCCAGAGATAAAACCGTGCAGGGCGTTGGCTTTATTCAAAACATCGGGCTTTTGCACGTAGGAGAAGACAAGTTCTCTCCTCTCAACTTTCGCGCGGACATGATGTTCCGCAAGGGTCGTCGCCACGCCCTTGGCAGACAAGTCAATACCGAAGTCGAAATATGGGATTTCTTCGATGTTTCTGGTCTCTGGGAACGCCAGGAGAAGCTGGCAGGTACAGGTGTTGCAATGACAGCCGTTACCGTGCTTGGTGGTCAAGTCTTTAGTGGCTTTAGCTGGGTTGATAGTGCACTCAGTGCTGTCAAGGTCTTAGGGCCGAACAACCTGCGCCGCCTCTTCCTCCCTGGTGTACTTGCGGCGGGTAAGTCTCCTATTGTATCCATTCACCTGAAGTGCTTTTGCTAATATTAAAATAGCTGTTCTGACCACGGCTTATGTGCTATCCTCAATCCCGACAACTCTACCGCCGCGTTTGTCTCGCAAGATCGCTGCAACCCTTGCCGACATGGACTACGTCCACTCCAACTCCAGCCGGATTTCATCCGAGGTCAGACGTATCCTCCGTCTGCCTGCAAACAACTTGCAGGCTAGCCTGTCTCAAGATATTGAAGACCTCGCTCGACGCAAGCAAGAGGTAGGCAAGGTCAAGCAAGAGAGCGACGTTGCTCTCAAGTACTTTGGAAACCTTTTCCGCGAGAGTGGCGAGAAC